GCTAAGAGAAGCTTGAGATGCAATATAGGTTTAGTGTATTTGGGTCAAACACAGATGCTTGGTAAGTTTTTACAGGGAGGAAATGCTCTAGCATATCTGCTATATCTAGTATTAAATTTCTCCTTACTAGTATAAATTATCATCCTTCCCATTAACAGAACTACAGAACTTTTAGGAACTAAAGCTCTCCAGAAGATCATTTCATTCTTCACTCTACCTCAGGGCAGGATCAGCTCTGCTTAAATATCTGCAGCATCTTCCATCCCACAGTATTAATACACTCTGAACCGAAACCAACATCCAGTCACATCTGTGGAAGAGACACCACTGATGTGAGTCAGGCTTTAATACACTCACAGTTGACTTTATACATTACCACAATTCTGTCCCTTCTGGAAAAAGCATTGAGAATCACTTCGTCTTGCATAGAAACCATACTGCAGTTCAAAGAAAAATCTGTAATCAAATCTGCAGGGGAACCAAATTTGAAATAAAAATAACATTTAAATCTTAAATACTAATGAAAATATAAATCTTGTTATGAGTTTTCTATCACTTGCAATTAAGAAAGCATGGATCCTTAATACTGCTGTTACAGCTCAAGGGAGAGCTGTGAGTACCATGCGTACCTGTGAGTACCATGCTATCCTAAGCCAAAGCTATCATAAGGCTTAGAAGGCTCTGAAACACTGAGGCTGCCTGACAGAGCTGCTCCCTGGGAAAATGCTACAGGATCATAAGTGATCCCAACTGTCACCTTAAGGACACGGTATTGTCCCATACCCAACAGAGCAATGGGTTAGCCTTGACTTAGGGGCACGCTTGCCACCTACTGGTCAGCAGCTGTTCATCACGCTTCTAAAATACTTCCACACTGCTTGTCTAATCTAGTCCACCATGTGCAGAAACCTTTCTGTACTATCAGCACAATACATCCTCCTCTCATCTGCAGCATTACTCAGACCAAGAAAATCCTGGAGAGATCCCAACCCAATTTGCAAGAAGATCTTTGTAAAACCAGCTGTGTTCACGGATGGTTCCCAGCTGCTGCTGCCTTTCCCCCACCCTCTTTCCACAGCCTTCAAATTCCACTTGTAAACAGGAGTCCGAAGATGTGCATTAGAGCTGGCCATCTTAGCACCTATGCAGGGTATATAGAGGTATGCTGCAGTCTCGCCAAGCCTATCCAACCCATCTCCGTTCCCACTTGTTCTCTTGAAAAGCACTAGTGTTTACACTGGAAACTGTTGCTCAGCAGGTATCGATCTTGCCTGCTAAGTGCATCAGACTGAGCTCTGAACTTGTATTGAACACTGACCTCAGTAAGTCTTTGCTGCCTAGGAAACAAACTGAGTAAAAGGACAGGGAATTCAAAGCGCTATAGGTTGCTGGCTGGAACTTAAAGACTGGTGCCTAAGGCTGCTTGAAATACTTTCTTAAAATTGCTTTTGAACAGGAAATTGGATTTAACACCCACTCCACACCCCCATTCCTCCCTAAAGCTGTCTACTTTTCTTCAGCCACAATGTGAGTAGTTTGATTGCCTTGTGCTCTCATTTTCCTGCATGGTCTGTAGCTTTCCTCTCCCATGGAAGAAAAGTGTATGTTTTCTGGGAAGCACAGTGGCCAGGCACTTGTGATACATACTCACACAGAAAGGAGGCATCTCTCAGACAGGAGCTACTGCAGTTCAGGTGAGTTCCAAGGCAGCATTACCAACCTCAATGAACCCGGTTTTCAACAACTATGACTTACCACTGGAAAAGTTTGTTTCCCTTTCTTAGTGGGAAAAAAACATCCAGTCTTTTTTATTCCTAAATGACTCTAGTTGGTGGTGCACGGGTCACTGAAAAGTTGAAAGAGCCTGCTGGAAAAAAAAAAAAAAAAAAAAAAAAAAAAAAAAAAAAAAAAAAAAAAAATTCGTTTCAGAACAGTGCCTAGTAATGTTACAAAATTACTACTTCTGCTAATACCAGCTGATATCTTTGCACTTAGTAATCTATGCATGAAGAAAATCCTCCAGTAGAGGCTGGCAGCTTCTGGGTAGCAACACAACAGGAGATGCTTGTCTGATAATTGTCTATGCCCTATGCATCGTTACAAGAATAAATGGTGGACCTCAAGGTAGAGGCACAAGACTCTGGCTCCAAACAGGCAGACCTGTCAAAACTAATGTTCTGAAAGTCTTTAAATATGAAAGAATAAATCCTAAACTCTCAGTGAGATAAAACTGGAAAAGAGGTAGATACTCATGACATTACTAATAATGGGAAAGCATAAGGGATTCATATGTCATTATCTGTTACATGTCAATTGTGTAAAGATAAACTAAAGTTAAATCCAGTCTTGCAAAACACTAAACCTGAGGCTGAATAGTGCATGTGCTTGTATGTGCCAGTGAAACTAGTGGAAGAGGAAGGTGGTCTCTACTCACACAACCACCCACTTAGAGCACAGACCATATGAACAGTTGGTTATCTACTGCAGGGTGGGACAAATTATGCTAAATTGAACTAAGTCCGTGCATCTTGGTTCCTAGTTCCTTACTTTCTGTAATTATGCACCACTGATAGTGTGGTAGGATGCAAATAGAGGCAATTCTTGCTTCTTGGCAAGATAGACAAAATAAAATTTTATGACTAAAGATGAAGGATGGGGAGTCCAGCAGGGGGAAAGTCTATTCTTGCTGCAGGAGAGTGTGGATCCAGAATGGAAGTCCAAGGTCAGAGCTTGTTCTTGAGCTAATGGGATGGACTGGGACAGTGACTGCTGCTTCTCAAGAGGCAAAGCTTTCCCTGCCAACAATAGGCATTGCCTAATATGCCCAAACTCTTCTCTCAACTTTAAGAGCCTTCCAGGGCTCTGGATCAGCTCTAAGTATTCTGCTTGCTCTAACACCTAAACATCACTACAACTCTGTTCTTTTTTGGGTTTGAAGATAATTTTACTGTTGTTCAGGAAAACTGAACAAACCACAAAAGCCTTTTTTACTGACTGTATATCATTCCTGTCACACCATGTGATTTTGGATGGAATGTGAAAAGGGTTTTTAGAGTTCTGCCATCAGTTTCTATGAGAACCTGCAGCCCACTACATTTTGTTCAGTTAATTTCTAATTAATTAGCTATATACTTAAGAAATCATCTTGTATGGTCCTAGCTAATTGTATAGCATTATACATAGCAAGGTATTTTTATAAGTGAAAAATGAATGAGCTGTCCTACAATACATAGTAACCAGAAATTTGGACTGAAGCCCAAATTCAGTAATAATTTATGTTTCATTAACTTCCCTGGAGTTTTAACCTTCTTTATCCCTGCTACTGACTTTACTATTAAAAATAAAGTCAGGCAAAATTATTTTAATATAGATAGATCTATGCCTAAAGGGAGTTAAGAAGTTATTTTACCATAGAACAAAAAGAATATATACTACTCCTGGTGCCCTATATTCCCTCCTACATATTTCCTATGTATTTCCTCCATTATGTTCTACAACTAAACAAAAGCACAGGCCACAATAGTTACTTTATATAGATGTCTCTAATTCTGTAAGAAAACTTTGGTTTTTCATATATAAGCTGTTATTAAGGATGTATAACACTATTTATATCACAATGATTTTAGCAGGAAGCTGAGATCTGCAGTTTAAAATCTTGAATGCATTTCTCTAACTATAGGGAGACTTTCTCCAAGTCCTGGCTTGCAAAGCTATTTGACTTGAGCTATTTAAGAAGAAAAAAAAAAAAAAAAAAAAAAAAAAAAAAAAAGTCTCTACTTGGCAAGAGCTTTAATTAGCAGAAATTTCCACGCTAGGAATATTATTCTGCATGAGCAGAAATTGCATAGCTCTTGCCTCTAGATGCCTTAGAGATGCCATTGATTGGCCATATTCAGAACAGGGGAATTATGTGACCCAGTGCTAATTTGAATTCCTTTACCAAACACATTTTTATTTCATCATCTCAGCTGCATAAAAGAGTCAAAGTACCAGAGCTTTAAAGACTTTGAATTCCTGCTGTTCTGCAATAAAATAAGGCAAGAAATATTAGCCATCCCTGGTTGATTCTTTAATTCTTTCCCAACAATGTCAAAGTATCAGTGTCCTACAGGTTTTAGTGCAGGTTAAAGACTGATACAAAGTGTATGCCTGAATAGGAGTTTGGAGTGAGTTAAGAAGAGAGAGAACATTTTAATGGCACATTGGTCCAAAATAGCCCAGCTTGTTCCTACCTCCCGCTGCCTCTTCCTCCTTTTCACAGGACCTTGATTGTATAGAAACAGTACAGACAAAAACCACAAACAACAAAAGGTTCGCTCACACCCCCAGTGGAGGTCATGAGCATGCTACCATGGAGAAAAAAAAAAAAAAAAAAAAAAAAAAAAAAAAAAAAAAAGAAAAAAAAGCAAAAAAAGCATCAAAGGATGGTTTGGCTTATTTATAAGCAAAGATTAATTAATAGGAGGTTTGATACTTTAGCAACGTACATTTGGGGAAATTTGTATTTGCAAATTGTTCGTTTCATACATTCAAGTAGCACAGAGCAATGTGGCCTGGTGTTAATTTTAAAGATGAATCAAACCTTTCTTTGCCATGATCCAAAAACTACAAACTTGTGGTTCAGAGGCTTTCAATAGTATCTGCTCAGATTTGACACTCCAAGGTTAAAAAAATCACAAAAGAGTTGTGTTATACACAGCAACAGTAGCTTTTTCCAACAATTTTTCAATTATTGCATTGTATACTCTCCAAGAAAAGTAACTGTCTTGGCTACTGGAAGACAAGCTTTAAAAAAGGAGTCAGAATGAACAAATTCCCTTCAAATCCACCACTCTCCTTACAGGTTGTCTTTAAAACTGCTATTCATTATAGCAGCATTTATACCCGCTGGGTGACTATAAACTATGATTCAGAACTACCTGTGTCACATGATGAATAAGCGCAACATGCACCATTCACTTTTAAATCAACCCCCTCCGACCTAAGCCATGTAAATCTTCAAAGCCAGGCCGGGTAAGACGGGGCGGGGGGCACGGCCGGAGTCCCCTGGCTCCCCTTTCGCTTTACAGTGGCGGGTTTGCGCCGAGGTTGTCAGTGACTGCTGGGTGAATACTGGGGGGACCCTTGCGAACTACACGGACGCGGTGTTTCTCCTCTGCTCTGCGGGCGGCGCCCACCTCCCCCGGTCCCCTCCCTCCCCCGAGAGCTTCTGCAGCAAGGTATGTCCCTTCAGAAAGCCTCCGCTGCTGTGGATGCAAACCACCGGCAAAATAAGCGCTGTTCCCAGCGCACATCGCGCTGATCGACAGATCTTCTCGGAGATGCTTGAGGCATAGCAGCAGTAGCGAGTGCTCCGGCCGCAGGTCCTCTCCTCCGGCTCCTCTCGAAGGCTCACGAGTTTGTTAGGAAGAGTGCCGCCTACGGGGCCGCCTAAAACTGCTCGGCATCTTAAAATCGTTGCACTGCCTAAATTAAACCTGAGAAGACAGACGTCTGATCTCCCTCTCCCCAGCTTTATTCGTCTTGATTATGAGCATGGAAGAGCATAGCTACTGTGCCAAAACTACACCTTTCCTTAGCTCAGTCTTGCTTCAAAATAACAACTGTGCAAGCTTCCTCTCACTCTTGAAATTTGTTATCCTTAGTCAAGGAAACCCAAACTATCTTTTTCTGGAAAATGTTTTCCTTCTCTGGTTAACTCTTACAGACTGTAACTAAGATCTTGGCTCTTAAAATAAGAACTATTATCAGTTTCTACAATATAATTTTCATTACCTTGTCAGAAATATTAAATTTTTAAATAGGTACATCCAATAGGTGAATTCAAAATTTGCTTTTGTGAGTCTCAAACTACTGCTCCTACATTTAAGTCTCATATATAGAATACAATGCAGCACACAGCATTTTAGGGAATGGTTGCTATAATGCACTGTAATTCCTACTGTAATGCACCCCAATGTAATTTTTGTCTGATGTCAAATGTAATATTAAAAAGTAACCATGTGCAAGGAATCCTATGCCATGGAAGGGTGACTAATTAAAATATCTAGAAATCTAGAAGTTAGGATGTAAAGCAATTGCAGACATTTGGGAGAGAAATACATTGTCACACTCTAGATCATTAGCTAGCAGCTGCTATAGCAGTTAGGAAGGAACTTCCAGTGTAGATGGTTATTCCATGATCTCCTGCTATCACTCATTTTTTCTGTGACATAAGCAGATGATATTGGCTGCTATGCTAGAAAAGCCTTGGACCACATAAGTGATTTGGGAAGAATGCAAGAATTGCACTATATTCTTTTTCTTCATTTTTTACATAATCTGTTGAACAAGTTATTTACATCTAAGTGGATTAAATTCTGGTTTAAAACACTAAAATAGCAGTGTTTTCTACCCATGCATAGACTGTACAGATCAATTACAAGTCGGAATTATTTTGCTCATCTGTCAGATCATTAAACCACGGTGGAGATACCTGGAAGTAACTTGTCTTTCCATGCAATGGAAATAAAGTACACTTCTGTCCAAAATTCCTGTTTCCTGTGTCTCATGTGTGTACCTTCTCTGCTGGATTGCATCTCTGCCCAGTAATATGGCATGAAAGCAGAAGCTCTTCTGCAATGTTTCTTTGTTATAACAATAAATTGTATTTCTTAGTAATTCATCAGCCTATTGATGAACAGTCTGAATGACCCATGGAATGACACAAGATGTGGGAGGGGAGGAGAACCTTATCTGGCAGTATGTTTTTCTTTATTTCCTCCAAGAAATTATAGTATTTTCTTCTGAAAGAAGAAATTGGCATGTTTTTCTAACAAGACATGGAATGTCTGTTCTTTATAAAATATGGGTGGCAATTCAGATCCTGTTGAGATAAGCAAAACAGACTACACCTACCGTGATTTCCTTTTCATTATCCCAGGCAATGAACTTTTTTTTTTTTTCTTAACACATGTACCTTTCAGAAAATCTTTAACCTCCTGTTCCTATGCTGTAGCTTAAAGCTGTTTGTTAGGGGACACTCAAGCATCAGTGTTACATTTGTCAAGATGAGGGCTCCAGAGGTGTCAAATGTTTGTCCAGACTTAGTTTACTCCTTTGTCATATGCACTGTTGAGGTCTCCTCAACTCCACAGCTATATTGTCATCCTATGTATCCCTTATAGGGTACAGGTGGTGTTGACTGGGTTACTGAATATGTAATATTTCTCTGTATTCAACATGAGGCATTTGGTCTATATATGCACGTGCTATTTCAGCATGTTCTGAATACAACTTTTTCATGTTCCTCTCGCACTACCTATCACTTCAGGAAGAATGCTTTACAAACATCTGATCATTGTCTTTCAGATCACCTCTATGTGTGTTCACAAGAGTTCATAATTTCTCTGATAATGAACTGAGAGACAATCTGTGAACTAATTTCTCCAATTATTTTTTTCTTCAGTTGCCTTCCAGTTTTCAGGGAACTTTGCAGCTTTAGAAAACAGCACCAATTGACTGAAGTTAGTTACACATTCAAGTCCTAAGTGATTTGTGACCAAATGTAAAATATTAAGTTATTGTCCTAGGTTGCTGATTGAGGGGAATTAGTCTTCATAGCAGCAGTCTGCTGCCTCAACCATGAAACTTGCTGTAAATTGACTTTTGCAGCCCAGGCTCATTCCCTGGACACCATCCATCCTCTGTGCTAAACAAAGGCAAGACCTTGGTGAACAGTAGGAAATAGCAACTATTTAATTAAGACTGTATCATGATGCATATGTGCAAGAAAATCGAACCAAGATTACACAAGGAACTGTAATTATGGCCTCTAGACCCTTGCTTTAACATGTGTTATGTTAAAATGTGTTATCAGAAATACCATGCTTTGCTAATCTTCACTTACTGCAATGCAACATTCTCCTATGTGGATTACATTCTAAAGACTATTTTCTTTCCTTGGCCACTTGCCTTTTTATTTTTCTACTAATCTCTTGTGTTTATCCTCCACACACCTTACCTGTATTCCTAACTTGAAGCTGCCTACAGTGATCAGAGGTAGATACAATCAGTAAAATATTAACAGCTTTAATGTATACAGCTAGTACAGTTCAACTCAGAGTAGACCTGGAAAATGTAACAACACTTGCTTGACAGGTTGGTAAAAGCCTGAGCAATCTGATGCAATATGATAAATATGACTATGCTCCATCCAAGCTCTCCTCAGTTCCTAAAAAGTCTGTACTTCCAGGCTGCTTGCTTTTCAGTAGCTGCAGATTCACAGAATGTTACTCTGTTCTACAACGAATTTTGACTTTTGAAGGATTTTTTTTCACTCTAGAATGCAGAATTAATTTAGATGAATTAAAACTTCCTTTCTCTGAGTTTTAATTACAAGTTACCTTCCCATTTGAAACCCTGGGAATGATGTTTGAAATGGCTTTATCTCAGCAATGAGTATGCTTCACAGTCATATCTATAGAACTGATGGTGCTAGGAGCATTCTACTACTAAAAAAAATATTAAAAATTTCAGCTGTACAAAGTTCAGGTGTGGAGAGGCAGTGGATAGACTCCTTTTTCAGAAAATACATCTTTTGAAATGAACAAACATCAGTAACAGCCTGGTGTTCTAAAGGAAGTCCTATGATTATTCTCTTCCTTGGTCTGAAAAATAGGCTAGCAGCTTTGTGAAATTTCTATGCTTCAAAGACTTGAATATAATCTAAACTCTTAAGTTTTTTCATAGTATACCTGTGCGTAAGACTGGTGTTGATTAAAAGTTTACTGATAGGACTTCTGTCCTGAAATGACAGAAGAAAATACATTCTCATCACAGAATACTGTTTCTGTTAGCTGCTCTGCCACCAGTGAAACCATTACGTGGACCTCAGTACAAGCTGTTCTACTTCACTGCATCAGGAAAAAAATACAGGTGGTGTAGATGAAAATTGCATACTAGATTTGTAACTTCAGACTATCTATGTGGGCCTGGGATTAATGAACATCTTAACCTGTTGTGGTTTAGTCCAAATGATGGTTCTATCCAGCATGAACTGGGAGATGGCAAGCACCAATTTAGTGAGATGTAGCACTATTCATTTCCATCTTTCAAATGAAACTGCTTAAAAAGAAGAACATTCTGACAGGTGGCAGTTAACAGTAGTGCCTTTCTGCTGTTGCCAAAATTTCTGTGGCTTATCATCCACGGTGCATCGAAAAAGAAACCTAAGTGTTTCTGGGAAGACTGGCTGTTGGGTTTTGTTTGGTTTTTTTGTTTTTCTCTCTGCTGCCAGAGAATTTCCACCTATATCAAAACGGGCTGCCAGAGTGTTAACTAAAGATGTGAACTTAGCCACTGTAGTCCTTTGATGCATTCTAAGTACCAGCCTGAGCCTGGGAGAACAGTAATCACTTGGTTCTGCAATCATTTTCCTGTATACTCTTGAGCTAGTAAAAAAAAAAAAAATTATATATATATATATATATATATATATGATAGACTGTGAAGTAATGGTTGTTTGATTCTGGGATTACATTTTAACACACTAAGAGAGGTTTCTACTGTTTAAATAAACACAGTACAGTTACTAGTGTAAAATTGCTCATCTTCCTTGAGGAGGGTAGAGATGTAACTTGAGCACAAATTGTTCAACTAGCTAAAAAGAAACTATATCAAATGGAGTTTGAATTTTAATAGCCAGTTCCTATTCAACAGTAGTTGTCACTAACTTCAAGCAGATCAAAACACAAGTCTTAGAAACCAAGTAGGTTTCTCAGTGCTTTAAACAAAGATCCTACATGATGCATACTGGAAAGGAGGATTGCTCGTAAGAGTAACAGCCCCCAAAATGTGTTCCACTGCTTACTTCCAGCCCCCCTGTCAAATGTCTTGTGCACTATATACAGTTGATGAACTTCATATATTGTTGCTCACAGACTTAATTCTCAGAGATCTTTCATGAATCTTCACAGTTAGCTTTAGATTAGACTGTCTTGAATATTAACTGTAAACCTGGTTTTCACCTAGTACACTGCGTAAGGTATTGTTATGAGCTCTGCCACAAAAAAATTTGATAGGTTCTCTGAGCTTAACTTTGTTATATATGAAGTAGAAGCAAGGATTGCTTTTCTTGCCTGCCTGGAATGAAAGGCAGTCTGAAACTGAAAATCTCTGGGTAGAGTTTTATCCCTCATGTATGCAAAAGGTGCCCAGTGTGTTGGACAGTCCCAAAGTTATTTAATATTGATATTAAATTGATATAAATATTGATATTGACATAAATATTGTTAGGGTTTTTTCCTTCTCTTATTCACCATAGTTTTAAGCTGAAGTGACAAGTTCGCTATACTAACTGATGTGAAGTGGGTAAGTGAAAAGCAGAATTTGTTAATCCATTTTTATAAGAATAAAGGTTTGACGATCATTTTTGGTTTCAGATATTTATCCATGTTTTCCTTGTTCTCTTGCAGAATTCTTGGCCCAGAAGCCCTTGTACTGCTTCAATCTGACATCCATGCAGGATTCAGAGATGATCCTTGCTGCTACTTTTCACTTCTATGCTGACAAATGCCCTCGGCACAGGGAAGTGTTTTGTAAGCGGTCCAAGAATTCATCCTGCCGCCTCCTTCACCTGCCTCCAGTCCTGAGGCTCAATCTCATTTTCCAAAGCATTCACCAGAATTCTGCCTATGGAGTAGTGAAAGGGAACATCACCATGTTTATTCAAAGGCGAGGGGCTTGGCATGCAAAAGACATTTCACCCATCATAAAAGAATCAAAACGGGCTGGAGAGCTCATTCTCTGCGCTGAGCTGGATTCTGGGGAGAAACACCAGGGCTTCCCTGAACAGGTCACCAGTCATCTACCTTACATACTAGTTTATGCCAATGATCTTGCAATCTCTGAACCCAACAGTGTAGCAGTCACCCTACAGCGTTATGATCCATTCCCTTCCAATGACGGGGACCCAAATCTGTCCCCTAATGCTTCTACTGATACCCGAGTGAGGAGGGATACATACCTGTCTAGCTCTATTCAGAACAATGAGTTGCCAGAAGTAGATTATAACAACAAAAAATACAACAAACATGACATATGGGAGAATGCCTACAAGTCCTTGAAACCAAAAGCCTCACGCAAAGATCGAAGGAGAAAAGGGCAAGAAAATACAGAAACACTTACAAAGTCTCAGGTGCTAAATTTTGATGAGAAAACAATGAAGAAAGCAAGGCGAAAACAATGGAATGAGCCAAGGATTTGTTCAAGAAGATATATGAAAGTTGACTTTGCTGATATTGGCTGGAATGAATGGATCATATCTCCCAAATCATTTGATGCCTACTACTGTGCAGGGGCATGTGAATTTCCAATGCCTAAGGTAGTATGCCTTTTTGTTGTTGTTAGCTTGCAAACAGTAGATCTACTGTTCTGCCTATCCAACTACTTCTTTCATTAGATTTTCCTCTAGATTTTTAATTTTTTCACTGTGTTCTGTTGCCTTGTTCAGCTTAGATAATTTAAGCAGTATTGTTTCCATCAGTTTATTCATCAGAGTGCAAAAAGATTCCAAGATATCTTTAAATGTAATCTGAAGCATAAGAAAAACGTCTCACGTTTATCTTATAATCTCTCATCTTATACCTTGAAACCGTAACATAAAGACTTAAGCATCTTATTAAAATATGGTTACACACACTAAATCATCAAACTACTCTGTTGTGGTAGCAGAAGTATAAAGTATTATATGCTAATAATAAAACAAGCTACTCTATTAAAATATTTCTGAATTCCACTGCTGAAACCTTAGGAGAAAAATGCAAAGTAGTGACACTGAGCTAATTTTAACATTAAGAAACTGCCTGTCACTTTGAAAATAAGAAAGCTGATGTTTGTGTCTCAAAAAACTCTTCTGCTTTTTTAATTTACTAAAATGTTAAAATAATTCTTCTGGTACAAAAAAGTTGATTTACCTTATGTGGCTAAAATGCCACATATATGTGTCTGTAACATTCTAAAGCTAGCATATTGAATTCCTCCTATAGAATTAGTGTGAGATTTGCTAATAGAGAGGCAAACATGACTTCCTGCTCCAAGGGAGTTTTGATTTGGCTCATTCCCACTCACTTGCTGTATGGTAACAAGTAGAAAATGTGGCAATCCTATGCAGCACAAGAATTATCAGCATTTTATAGGGTTTTCAATTAATGGGGCAAGGGACGATTTGAAGCACTGCATAACCTGCATGTTTAGAACCTGTAATTATTTTGCAGTTCTACCTACAAATGGCCTGATTATTTATTCTACTGATATTTTTACACATGGTCAGTCAGCACATAAATAATGAATGGTGTTTTACAGCAGAGAATTTCAAAGCTTTGAGACAGGAATCTGCCCTACTTTACTTACAGGGAGATTGATGTGTGTTTGTGTTGAAATAAGTAGTATGATTTCAGGAAGAATAGATATGCAAGCTAGTTTAAGTCCAGGAACGATGGAAATCCAGACATCATGGTAGGGTGTACAAATCTGACCACATGTTCTTGTGTAGCTGGCTGATACTGAACCATGTATACATAAACTGATACATGGTCTGGTAAGAATTAAAGCTTGAACAGGCTCACATACAAATTTACTTTGTTGTTGTAGTGTAAATAGATTGTGTAGCACAATCACCATTTACCTTATCTGAAACAAAACACAGCCTGGGAATATGGGTTCTCTGCCACAGACCCACAGTCTAATGTACCATTCATACATAGCAAAGCAAAAAATTAAAAAAAAAAAAAAAGATTTAACACACCTGGCTTCTTGCAAGCAAAACAACATGACACAAAAGCTGACAGAACCAAAAGATAGTAGCTCTGTTTATAGGTGGAATAGTTAAATAAGCTTATACTGCTGACATATAATGTCATATCTAGAAATATTACTTGCACTCCTAAACCAAAGGCCAGATTAAGGCTATTCATGAAAATTTGGTCTACACAGTCAACCTGTGATGGATACCTTATTTCCAAGGTACTCTTTTAGTACTGTGGAGACAGAATTATATACCTGGAATGTTGAGAATCATCACAGTGTATGATTTTTTATTTTTTTTTAAAGTATTGGTACATCTCTCTGCACATCTACTTTAATAACTGCAATTCTTGATCTAGACACAAACCAGCTCTGGCACAAATCTTGTCATAGCAAGTTCACCTAACTTACTGGTGAGGTTCTTATTCCCTAAACAGGGAGCAGGAAGGCTAGCTTATATGGTTAATAATGGCTGGGTGCACTGCTGCATTTGCCAAATAAATGCTAGTCCTACATGTGGTAGAAGTAGGTGGGAACATACCCTTTCTTTGGTCTACAGCAATTAGAATTCTCTTGATTTCATCCTTGTAAGTGTATCAGTTCATGAGTTTCCTTTTGAGACTTGAATTCAAACCTGAAAACAAAACTTTCCTGAGACTAAGTATTGCTTATTGAGTGGGGGTGGTTGGGGGATGGTGTTGGGTTTTGAGGTGCAAATCCATGATAAAACAGACTTTATAAGGGGGGTAAGCCAGGCAAAAGGCGAGGGGCTAAAGTAGTTCAATTGCTTTATGGCTACATCACCTTCCTTCTATTTTCTGAGGCCCAAAATGTTCCTCAGCTAGGATTGTCCTAGAGGTTAAGTAACATCAGAACCTGGCCTGCTGTATATAACTTAGTAGCCAACATCAGCATTTCCTCAGTGCCATCATTACTGGGCATTCAACTCATTATTTCAAGCTTTCCACTTAAGCACAGCAGTACAAGGCTAATGTGAAGCCTAGCCCATGATCACTCATGCCCGGTTTCCAGAAAGGCTGGAAAATTTAGAGCCTGGCTGGATGCGGGATGGGTGTGCTCTCTGGCTCTACTGTGGTTATAGGGCTCAGGCAGTCAGATTCTGTATAGAGTAATAGTACATAACAAGCTTTTTTTCTCTATAAGCATTTCTGTTCATATTATATACACTTTCAGGCATTAGAAACCTAATTAGTAGTGTTGTCTTGGTAGACAGCTGCTCACGTTAGACTTTGCTCACATCTGTTTGTTCCTTGCAGATATTAGAGCCTGCACAGCTGGTTCATGCACATGCTGGTTCATGAGCAGGTTCACGGTCAGGAATCCCGTAAATCAGTAACTGGCACTGAGGGCAATGATTGCTATCTGCTGCATGGGGCAAACAAATTCTGTTTCAGTAGCCCATTAGGATCTGTGGCTATTTCAAATAACTATATGAGATAATAAAGGTGTTAGGAACATTTCAGGAGGTTTTTCATAAAGGTTAAAGTAAGAACTTGATTCTAGAAGCTCTAGATATTTGAATTTCTAAACTCTCCAGTTGTTTTAAAACACGAAAGCTACTTCTGTCTCTCTCTTGCTGTCCAGATTTGCTGACATGGTCAATGCAGGTAGAAGCTTATTTCTACTTCACATTAGCAACTGTGAGACTATGCCACTGGTTGCTTGTCTGTGGACAGCTTTGAAATCTAAAGATGCACGGCGGCATGAGAGAACAAGCTGCTGCTAATTATACCAACATATACTAATTACAGAAAGGCACTTTCCAGGACTGGTCACTTGTGGGGACTTGGCTATAGGGATGCTGTCTTGAAGCCCTGAAGGATCAAGGATGAATTTCACAGTTCCTCCTTATAATGGCTCAAATAAGGTCACTTTAGTTAAGGAACATCTGAAAGCCTTAATAGCAATTAAGGTTTGGAACTGATTTCTGACATGTTACACTTAAAGCAAATGTATCAAAACTGAATTATCCTAAAAAATAGCTCCTTTGTTATACCCATGGACTGCATAACTTTTCATGTTGACATGAAAAAGTCATGGTTTGCATATATTCAGTTATTATTTGAAAAACAGAGAAGATAGAGAAGACATTAATTATTCTCACTTGAAGTATCTGCTTCCATGTGGAGGCATGCAAAGTTGTCCCACAGATGTAATTTTCCACTCGATATACAGCTATGTACTGACAGTGATGAAAGATTTCATGTGCCACATATACCAGATCTGTGCAGAAAACTCATGAAACTGTAGTAAAAGGCTTGAGATGACTAAAACAATTTTCCTACTGTTACTGTACTTATTTGCTGGGACAGTATTCAAGCATGACAACTGAACAGGAGTCACTGAAGCTGCAGCCACAGTGGTGAGTTGCATGCCATACTATTGCCTCATGTAACTGGAGCACACACATTCCACGCTATCCTGAGGCAATGACAAAGAAAGGCTGTCACTCCATCACCAGTAAACCTGTGCTTGGCTCTGTGTACCTCAAGCAACAGAAGTGGTGAAAACTGTTTAGCACTGTTCAGTTGCTCAGACTACAACAGTCAAGTGTAGCTTGTGAATAAAGGCTGGAAAAAAAAAAAAAGTGTTACATTTAACTACTACTAAACAGTATACTATTTACTTATCTTAACTTTTGCCTTTTCTTATTCTCACTGCTGTTATGCCTAATGGCTGCCTCCTCTTCTTATGTTGTTTACTGCATCCAAAAATCAATAGTAGAAATACAATTGTGGCTCAGTATCATGAACAATATATAGACATAAAGCTGCTGTGAAACCTCACTTTTCCTGCCCTCCCAGCCTTTTGTTTTCTTCTCCCACTTTGAGACTAGCTCAGGGAGCAGGGACAGGGAAAGGCTGGTGAGGAAGGCAGAGGGAAGCAGGCAAAGACTACAGGTATGAAGTTGTCATGGGGTTATGATCACAAAGGCTCTGTCAGGTTGTTTGAGCATTCTAGACTGACTCCCCCTTGTGGACACTACTCTGAAGCACTCTGCCCTTTTTCAAAAGTACTCCAGGAAAAAGTAACTAATTCCAGGTTAGCGTACATGAGGAGAAATCGTACTGGAACACAGGGATAGTTATTTTGGAAATACTTACAGTAGCCAATTTTCCAAGTCAGACAAGTGGTTAAAAAACCAAAAGATAGCCCACCTTAGACCTTCTCTCCTGCATACCTGCCTCCAGCATCTAGTAATGTGCAGTCGAGGACACTCTTTCTTCAGGCTACTGAGTGCTGGCTGTGCCACCAGTGCCCTCCTCTGGTATTTATGAAGGCAGCATAAGGAGCACAAAATATCAGTTAGATACACGCTGCGCAGGAAAGCTGGAAGTGTGAGTGACTGACTATGCTGCATGGTCCTGTGACTCAATCACATATATTCACTTTTTTGAAAAACAAAAAAACATAAGTGTTGTCGTTTTCCAAGTACATCTGGGAAAGTGACTACTCATAAATGAAGCGATAACTATTTTCTTCTCTGTTCCAGATTGTCCGGCCATCAAATCATGCTACAATCCAGAGCATCGTAAAAGCAGTAGGAATCATTCCTGGCATCCCAGAACCCTGCTGCGTTCCTGACAAAATGAGCTCACTCAGTGTCCTTTTCTTAGATGAGAACAAAAATGTTGTTTTAAAGGTATATCCCAACATGTCTGTTGAAACTTGTGCCTGCCGATAAGTTCATACAGACGCATCTTTAACAAGACCCACACATCCTGCTCGACTACACTGGGAAAATTGTAAATGGAAAATTAATCCACTTGTACTGATGAATGAATGCAAGCCTACAATTCTTCTATAGAAAGCATGAGGAGAGACTGAAATGACACACATGCTCACCTGGAAGGATATGTCTTACTGTCGTTGTTTGTCTTTCATATTCATCTTCCAGGAATTCAATACTTTTACAAATATCTTTCTAACCCACCTAGCCAAGACACCTGGTGTTTAGTGAGAAATTTAAGTGTAAAGTTTTCCATAATCAAAGGATTAAAATACGTTTTTATATGCTATTTTTCTGACTATTTTATCTCTTCAGTTAACCAAGAAGATGGGAAGTGAACTTGCAAAGGCAGGCTTATTTTAGAATATCTCTTTTGTACACAAATCAAAACTTTTTTTCCTAAAACACTCATATGCTTAATCTGCATATTTATACTGAAAAAAAATGCTGTAATAAAGGGCTTAAAATGTATATTTTCTTCGGGATGCAAGTATAGTGCACTGCATAAGCTTTCATATAAACAGTATGTTAATATAGACATTTTCAGTTACCCTTCCCTAATATATAATTTGTTCTACAAAAGTCATATGTAATAGCCCACATTTTTGGTTTGCTGGATAATTTCAGGTTGTTAAACATACTCTCTGAGTAACACATACAATATAGTAATATGTTGAAATACTAAAAATAAAATAACCAAGATTTATATTTTTGTAAATTATACTTTATATCCTCTAGATTGTTACATGCTTTTAACAAAAGCTAATAAATTAAAGGTACGGTAGTATCTAAAATAGTTGAATTGTCTTTCTATAAATGCACTGTTACATTCGCTTAATTAGATGGAAACATGTAAATACATGTTAAGCTTGTCATAATGGACCTCAGTAGATTAAAGACAGAAGGGAATACTATGATCATCTACACTGACCTCCTGCATAGTACAGATCAAAGAACCTTGCTCAGTAGTTTCTACACCATGCATTATGGAACTTCTGTTTTGAGCTTGGGAATATCTTTGAAAAACATGCATAAATTTGGCTTTAAAGATTTCATGTGATAGAATATCTCTACTGAACTACAAGTAGTTGTTCCAAAAGTTAGTGCTCTTTGTTCATATGCAGTGGCTTAATCCCAGTCTGAATTTGCTGAGCTTTAGCTTCAATTCACTGGATCTTACTGTAACCTATTTTATTAGATCCCTTTTATCTATTATCCAAAATACTTTCACTGTGTATTTTTAGTATATAGAGCAGTGTCAAATTACATTTTGGCTAAGATTTAAATGGATACTTTGTTGTCTTGTTCTAAGACTCAAAATAATTTCTCACAGCCCTTTTCTGAACTCTTTCCAGAACTTTCATTAACTTTCTTTTCCAACAATGAACATCAAAATGGGACACAATATTTGGCAGTGGTTCTGTTAGAAGTCTTTACAGAAATAAAGTCTCTGCATCCCTCTAACTCCTGTACAATCCTCCGTTGATACATTTATGGTAGTCCTTGTAACTGCAGTACTCCTTTAAGAGCTCATGTTCCATCATTGTGCTTGTCAATCCTCTTTCTCAGTGTCCGTGCATGTCAGAACACACTTATTCCATTTTCACCCACCTGCTGTACAATAGCATAGGCACACCAGGAGTGTAACAAACTTCTGAAGTCTGTGAAGTAAACAGAGAGTGCAAGATAGGGAGTGTTTCCTCCTCAAGAGACAGTCTAACCTTCTGCACTATTTTGTCCTATTAAAAGTCACATCATTTAGGGGAGGGATACTACACACATTACCTTCTGATGAATGACTAACTGGAAGGCTCCTGTGGTGCTAAGGTGCTAAGTAACTTCTGCCACCAATATTCCATGCTCATGTGGTACAAATTCCCAGGTAACAGAGGTGTGTAAATGTGGTAGTTCATGACAACTTACATAAAAGCAAGATTCAGTTTGTATCGTAGTCTCTGCAAGTACTCTCACAGCAGTTCTTGCTACTTCCTCCTAAACAGCTCTTAATAAGAAGTAGATAGTTCTAAGGCACCTTGTAGTGACTGGCAGTTATGACTGTGAAAAGATCATGGATCCAGCTAGGCATTTCTTCTTGTCCCAAAGCACTACAGTGATTTACATTGCCACTACTGGGACAAACTTTTGTATACTGTTGCCGTTAAAGATCTCCCTTAAAAATGTGCTGTGTTTTTGCAAATCATGAGAAACTCAACTACAGCTAACAAAGTAATGCTAATGCATAAAGAAAAATTTAGAAGTTCTCAGAAATTCATCATTTATTCCTACAGAATAGCCATAAGCATAAAACTTTTCAAAGTATCTTAAATCATTGTCATTTCTGTTCTCTATGAAAATCTACCCTTTTCTGTACATCTAGACTTGCTCCCATTTAGCACCAGCTCTAAACAGCATGATGTATTAGCCTGGTGTGCTTAAGTTCTCACCTACTGCATTTTGTTTTCCTTAAAGAATCTTTTCTATATCATAAATTAGTCCTGGGTACTGAAAACAATTAGGAAAGAGATACCATCCTATGATCTGTTATGTCTATAGGACATAAGGGAAAATGCTACTCCTATACTCATTAAGATATCTATAAAACCTTGAAAGGTTCAGTCTGCATTTAAAGTTTTGTTGGCAAAACTATGTTATTAAGGATAGGCAAAACAAAATTATACCTGTTAAGTGGCATAGGTCTCAAGGCATACCCTTACTACAAGCAATATAATTCTCTTATTAGTAAAGTTTATTTCATTTGGAGTTTAGCTGTACTGGTCGGTTATCCAATGTGAACAAGGTCTTAAACCACTATTTGTTTAGTGGTTTAAGCTACTACTTCCCGGGCCTTTGGTATTTGGATGTCTAATCTTCCTCTAGAAAATATACCAAACTCAAAATGGCACAAACGCAGTCAGCTGCTGCCGGAAGACACTGATATCCTTACTCTCCTGGTTCCAACAGATCTTTTGATTTCTGTGAACAATCCTATAAACCATTTCACTCAATGTTTAAGTTTCTAGAGAAAGTTACTATTGACAAACACTTAAAATAGCAGGTCAAGATAATTCCACTAACTAATCCTGAGAGAATCTAGGATATATTAATATGGGATGATTAAAGACAGACAAAACAGGAAAACAGCCAATACTAGCCGGAAAAGTGTTAAGGAAATTTTTTTTTCTAAAACAAATCCCATTTCATTCCTTGAGGCCACAGTTAACATGCCAGAGATAACAGCAACAACTAGAATGTACCTAGGTTTTTGTGCCGTATTTCAATTCACTTGCAGAAGGCTGCATAATTAAAAGAAACCACTGAACAATATTAATATGTTTGTGTATCACATGAGTTAACAATTGTCTCACACCAAACGTCAAAAAGAATTTCAAAAGGAATTGCAACTGAATTAAACTGTTCATTGTATAGTTTCTGCAAAGCTAACACTTGGCCTGACACTATTTGACATCTTTATATATGAACTGGAAGCCTGTATATAACAACCCCCACAGTGTTTGCAGAAGACAGTGTTTAGGAGAGAAGTATTTATATAGATCACTTGATCTAGCTGCACTTTGTATAATCAAAATTCATTTTAATGTAGGCAGGTGCAGAACTTAGTATCTAGGTACATGGAAAGGAGACCTCTCCTACTGAGTAAAATACTGAACCCTTGAAAGCCATAACTCTTAGAACAATTTTTGTGGTTATCATGGATTTATGGTGCAGTATGAGCATCCAGGGTGATGTTATGTAAAGAGAGCTAATGCAAGCTTTGAAAAGGTACACATTGGAGTAGTGAACCACATAAGGAAAGGAGATTTTATTTCTGCATATGGCACTCGTGGACTGCCACTAGAAAACTAAGTATAGCACCAGTGTTCACCTTCTCAAAAAGACATTCAAATTCTGAAAGAGTCATGAAAAAGAAACAAAAACAGTTAGAGAAAATGTCTTATGTGACTAAGAAGTACTATCTGTTTATTTTATCAGAAAGCAAACTGAAAAGTAACTTGATTACACTGTACAAGTACTTTGATAGAGAGAAAATGACAGCACTACGGGGTTCCTTAAGCCAGCCAGAAAATTACAAGAACTGTCTAGGTGAAGACAGGCACAATGAAATAATAAATGAAGTACCATTGTTTTTTATGTGTAAGTGATAATCTTTTAGTGCTACAAATCTGAAGAAATCTTTGATTCCTTGATATCTTCGGATAAATTCTGGAGACCCTTAAAAACTTACGTTTTAGCCAAACAGAAGTAATTGGGCTCTGCACACAGCTAGGAAACACAAAGGTAGAAAGTACAACGTAACAGTCTTGCTATGCAGGAGACCGGGATCAATGCCAAATAATTCTTTCTGACTTTACACCATAGGAACATTATGAACCAGGATCTTGGATCCCAGTTTTCACTTGAACAGACACATAAGTGAGTATCTGAGAAGTCTGGGATCACTTTAAACGCTGTGTATGCACTGCTAGAAAACTGGAGAAGAATGACCAGCAAGGACAAAATCTTGTCTACATCTTTGCAATGAGAATTTTTTAATGTAAAAGCTCATAATACTATTTAGACTTTATGTCATGTGTACAGTATGGACTGAGTCATGCTTAGAAAAAATGATACAGTGATAGTACAGATAAAACACTTATGTACCATTAGATTATATCATAATTAATTCATTAAGATAAACAGCAAGTGATATTTTTGTCTATAAATAAACTAGGTTTTTTCTTCTGTATCATGAGAAATTCTGCCAAATTGTATTTTTGCCTTGACCCATTCTTCTCATGGATAACAGTATCTTCATAGATAATCTTCTGTATCTTCATGGAGAACTTTTACTTTCTATGTGGCCTTAGAAGGCCTAATTCTGTCTTCATTCCAAGGTCACCGAAACAATGACTGGTTTTTCTTGGACTGGACTTACCATCAAGAATCTAAGAAATATATTATAAAAGATACTTTTTAAAAAAGACTAAATTCCCATACACCAAAGGAATCAAACTGAAAATGGACAAGCCTACAAACAACATGAAGCAAACTTGACACAAAACAGATATTTCACTGTGTACAAACAATAGCTCTTGGCTGATAAATGGAAAGAAGTTTTAAGGTTGTTTGTACTGTGATGAGATCACATCTTACAGAATCACATGTCTCCATCAAATGCTTGGGGATTTTCTGATGGCACATGAAGCAACTGTAATAACGATTTGTGAAATGTTATTTAATAATAGCTAATAGAGTAATTTTGTTCTAGATGTCTATTTTCTAGGCTGGATGAAAACAATGTAATCTTCTACGTCCCTAAGAAAGCTTCTCTCTGTGCTGGCAAGGAAATGATAGAAGAGTGTAATTAAGCAATAATGACCCTAAAGTGAAATGTGGATTCTTTACAATATACAATGTCCTTCCCACCAGCCACATGTGTTTGTCAGATGTTTACAGAATCTTCATTAACTAAGAGCTTTGCTAGATAACAGAGGCTGAAGCATGGCATCAATGACTCTGATAAGGGCAAGTGTACAACCAATCTGCCTGACAACTGACAAGAGGCTGGGGTTTGAAGCAGACTGCAAAAAGAACACAAGAAGTGATTTGCAAAGGGCATTCTAGTTGTTTGCCTTCCATCTCCTTCCTCTGTCTGTAATGAAACAAGCCTTTTAATTAGCTAAAATACTCTTGTCCTCTTGTCTCTCCACCAGAAAGTAAATATAGAAGAAATGCATTATTTTGGAGTATTAGCTGCACTGTCTGTTTTCAACATCATTGCCTGTTTGACAAGAGGCAAGCCTTTGGAAGATTGGGACAAGTTATCAGCTATGGAAAAGTCTGATGCACATTTTCATGATCCTGGGGAAGTGCAAGATGAGACCCATTTCGACTTTAAATCTTTCCTGGAGAATATGAAGACAGATTTACTAAGGAGTTTGAATTTGTCAAGAGTTCCCTCACAAGTGAAGACCAAAGAAGAACCACCACAGTTCATGATTGATTTATACAACCGATATGCTGCAGACAAGTCCTCCATCCCTGCATCCAATATTGTAAGGAGCTTCAGTACTGAAGGTAGGAGAAGTCCTATATGTGGACTAGAATTTTTAGACAAGTACATGGACAGTAGGTACTCAGATTCTTTAGAAATGAAACAGATTAAAATTTTTGATTATAGTCTTGCTTTGTAGATTCTTTCAATCTTAAAAAAAAAAAAAAAACCAACACAAAAAAAACAAAAAACAATTACCTTTAGTTTTCTTCTTTGATATTTTCACTGTAGAATATACTCTTTTCAAATGCATCAACTGAGATGATGCACTGAATAACAGGATTTGCAGAAATCATGTTTCTCAAAGCTAGAGATTTGGAACTGAGTTTTAACGTTAGAAAGTGAACTTTTGATCATCTATAATTGAGACATCCATACTAGAGAGCTCTTCTTTCCGGTGGGCTCTCTGCATACTTAAAAAACACAGCAGCCAACTGAGAAATGTGTCTCTGGATCCAGGCAAGAAACAGCTGTGCTCCCCCAAAATTCTGGGTTAGATGGAAAGATTTATATGAAAATGAGTAGTCAAGCTTGTCTCAACTAAAAAAATTCAAGATCCTTGTCTGTGACATTAAATAAACTTTTAAAAGCCCCATCAAAATAAGCAGTAAAAAGGTTAGAAGTAAATGCAATCCTTGTGATAAAAATGAGAAAGGGAGAATTGAAGCTTCTGTTTATATGGATAATAGACATACACAGATAACAGCACTATGGACAACTCAGAATTCCCAAATCAGTGTCCCTAGTCTTGAAATGGAAAGAAAACCTAAGAGTATGAGCTAGATTATTATAGTTTCTGTATCTCACTCTCTTTGACTGTTTTAGTGGGTAAACACTGTGAAGTGTCAACAGTAGCCAGTTAAAATTGCCCTAAAACCCAATCATGATTAATTATCTTACACTGACCATCAAACAGACATCAGTCAGTGATGACTTTTAAACACTACCAGTCTGACCTTCCAGCCAAATACTTGCCCCTCCCGAGGCAGAGCCACTGGTACTGCACATAGCTTTGCAGAAAAAAAGAAACAAACAAACAAACAAACAAACCAGAAGTTCAGTGAGTCCTCCCTGGAACAGACTGGGACCTGGGCATGAAAAGCTGTTTATCACCAAGTCTCAAATTAGACAGACCCTCAAGCTTCAATTCAGGATTTTCAAAAACTTTTCCATTTCCCCAAACTTCCAGTAATCCAAGCTGGTTTCAAAGTTACCTGAAGACAACAAAAGCCTCAGCACATTAGTTCTTAGAGACACTTAAATACATAGTATACTTCACTGTATTAGGAGGGAAGTTCATCCCATTACATGATGGTAAGAGTAGGAAATTCATAGGGGTTTTTTAGGAATTCTTTGTGTAAAAATCTCATTAGGAAATTGCTAAATCTGAACACTCTCCAGATGCCTTACTCATGATACTGATCAGCATCACCCACAGCTTGTTCTAGGCAGACTCTTTATGCTCCCTTCCACACACTCACCTGACCATGTAATCTTTGAGGAAATACTACTAACACCAGGGACATTCATTTTACTCTTTTTACTCCCTGCACTTGAAATCTGGTCAGAGGATGTTTTTTTAGTTTTGTTTTCTTTTGTTTTAAATGCTGGGTAGCCATGCTCTTATTTTACCCCCAAAATACATCTCGAGTCTTTTAAAAGCAAGTTACTTGGACAGTCAGAAGCACTGTAAACACGTGTTTTAATTTCCTATTGCAGATGTTGTTTCTTTAGCTTCACCAGAAGAAAATCCATTTCAGAAACACATCTTGCTCTTCAACATCTCTATTCCACGATATGAGGAAATCACCAGAGCTGAACTGAGAATTTATATCTCCTGTCACAGGGAAGTTGGGTCTCTCTCTAGGCTGGAAGGCAACATGGTCATTTATGATGTTCTAGATGGTGACCACTGGGAAAACCCAGAAAGTACCAAATCTTTCCTTGTCTCCCATAACATCCAGGAGTGTGGTTGGGAGATGTTTGAAGTGTCCAGCGCTGTGAAAAGATGGGTCAGGGCAGACAAACTGAAGGCTAAAAACAAGCTAGAAGTTGTTATAGAGAGTAAGGCTCTGGGTGGTTTCACTTGTGGGAAGCTGGATATCAGTGTTACACCTGACACTAAAAATCTGCCCCTGTTAATAGTGTTCTCCAATGACCGCAGCAATGGGACAAAAGAGACCAAAGTGGAGCTCCGGGAGATGATTGTTCATGAACAAGAAAGTGTGCTAAAGAAATTAGGAAAGAACAACACTTCATCTGAAGAGGAAGAAGAGGGAGGGGAAAAGGCCATCATTGGGCCCCACCAACATTCCTCCAGAAGCAAGAGAAGCATCGGAGCCAACCACTGCCGGAGAACTTCCCTCCATGTGAACTTTGAAGAGATTGGCTGGGATTCCTGGATCATTGCACCAAAAGATTATGAGGCTTTTGAGTGTAAAGGAGGTTGCTTCTTCCCTCTGACAGATAACGTTACCCCAACAAAACATGCTATTGTCCAAACTCTGGTGCATCTCCAAAACCCAAAGAAAGCTTCCAAGGCCTGTTGTGTTCCAACCAAACTGGATTCAATCTCAATTCTTTATAAGGATGATGCTGGTGTGCCCACTTTGATATACAACTATGAAGGGATGAAAGTGGCAGAATGTGGTTGCAGGTAGTACACAAGGCAGAATATCTAATAATAAGAATACCCCTTTTTTTCTGCTCTTTGTAAATCTGTACATTAGTGATGCAAATGAAAATCCTTGCAAACAAGGTTTGGAGCAGGGTATGAGGCTGGTTGGTGGTGGTGGTTCTTGTTTTAAAGGAAATCTGGCATTTAAAGAATGGCAATCATTGTAAATAGCCTGCATTACCTATCATAGCAAAGAGAATCCTGGATTAAAATATTGTGAGATTGAATGAATTATTTGGCAACAGTGATAGAATTCGAATATCTTATTTCAACTTTTCTGTTTAATTGATTCAGTTTAGGTCACAAAAAAAAAGGATTTTCAATGGGGATTTAGGATGCCCTGAAAATGTTTAATAGGTGTCGAAATCTAATGCTCTCAGCCAACTGTGACATTTTCAACTTCTGTAAAACTCGGTAAATGGAATTTAGTCTGCATGGAGTCTAAATCCTGCAAGCCTTTTCTCATACCAGTAATCTCAGAGGCTTTTACAGGCAAATTATTTACTCCTGTAAGTGAAGATTTGCAGTATTCAAAACAGAAGAGACTCTCAGTCTTATTCTATTCCCAAGTTTCCTTCTGTGGGTAGCAGGTGCCTTGGTTTCAGCTTTCTTATCCTGAACGTCCCTATTTTTACCCCTTTATGGCACATACTTGAATGATAAGAAGTGCAGCCTTCCGCTTCTAAGACACTGTTTCCTAGGAGGAACAGCAGTCCTTATCTCCTCACAAAGATAAGGAGCCACTTTGACCTACTGCATATTCTTAGTATTTCTTTGCAAGAACATGCAGTCAAACGACGTTCAGCCTTAGAAGCTGTATCCTAAGAGCAGTGGGGGTTGGCAGAGCTCAGCACTTATGAAAAGCCCAGGCTACTTATTTAGAAGCCTAAATACATTCTTTGGAGTCTGACATTAGGCTCCAATTTTTAAAAACTTTCTTCTTCAGAGAAACTCTATTTTATACAAATTCTTTCACCCCTTGGAAGTCAGGGAAAACCTGAAAACTTCTATCTGTGTTCTATGAGACTTACACTGCTGTATGGGAAACATACTATCATACAATAGTTCTCCTGACTTCAGTTGTATTTTCACTAAAGAAGGACCCCATCTTTGTTGCAATTAAAGTAAACCTCCTTTGATTCTAATGAAAGTTTTGCCTGTACAAGAACAAGGTGTCTTCTGTTGGTTTCGGGTGATAGATGTAAGTGCTGAACGATGTCACTGCAGTCCACCTCACCTCTACTCCTCCACCACCTTACACACACACACACACACACACACACACACAATCTGTTGGAGAACACTTTTGATCCAAACCCACATCAAACTACACATCTGTTCAAAATGGTGAAGAATTTTGATGAGGCAAAATCTAAACAGTAGCTTAATGTATGGAAGCAACACGGATTTAAAACAATACATGTGTTTTAAATTGGGGCAGCCTGTGGGCAAGACAAATTAATTTGCCATGAACAGGCCAGCTTGAAATCTAATACACAGTTTATTTACTATTATTAACTTAATACAGAGCAAATAGCAGGTGAGTGTGAGCAGGGCGGTTGTAGTTCCATCAAGAACTGCTGATTACATCACAAACCGTAAGTACAAAGCATGATTCACCAGAATCCTTGGACTGATTTATACGCTTTTCCTTTAGAACTGGGCTGCAATTGGATCAGATCTGAGATCTGGGTCCATGCAAACTCAATCCATCCATAGCTGCATGTCACTAACCTCTTAAGCTTCCTGCAGCAGTCCTCTCATTTTATACACTTACACACCCCACTGGCATCTGTCATGTTACAGTCATCATTATGTCTTCCTCCTTTCAGAATCCCATGTATCGTCTACCCGTTTTGTTCAATTCTCCTGAGCTCATGACATTTTGTACAACTCTTAATCAAGTAAAAGACACCACTAAATAAGCATTTGGTGTGATCATATTAGAAAAGTTATTCACCCGTGTGTCAAGGTAATTGTAGCTGTGTGCCCTCAAGTCATCCAAACACAAGGTCCTAGTTCTATTTTGACTTTGAATATAGGACTTTGTCCATAAGTAAATGAAAAAGTGGAGAAGGGGAAAGTCCAGTTCCCACATGCACACAGAGATAAATTCCCAAGAATCCTTTTTTTTTTTTTTTTTTTTTTCCCCCCCACATTCTGAAGTCAAACATTGATCTTTGTTTTCAAAGAAAAAAAAAAAAAAAAAAAAAAAAAAAAAAAAAAAAAAAACAAACAAAACCAAACAAACTCCCAAAGCCATTTTTGGCTCAGAAACAGATCCCATCTCAAAACTGGACTACAAGTCACTTTTGTATTTCAATCAAAAAAAAATCAGCTGCTCTTCCAGCCAGCTTTAATGGTCACATTCCTACAGTCTTAACATTTTGGTTGGTACAGTAGAAAAACAAAGCATGCACCTATCCATAGGGTAATGATCAGGGTCAAGAAGAAATGAGAACCCAGTAGTGACTACAGATGCTACCTACAGCATGGCTGAATTGTGTGTCAAATTAATGTTTGGTTTCACATTGTAAATTTAGCAGCTTGATTTATGTAGTTCTGAACACTCAATTTTAAACAATTGCTCAAGTTTTCTTGTGTTTCAACTGCTTTGGAATGCAATGAATTAGCCAGGTGGCCAAGATGTGCTGCAGAGTATATAGGTTGCAAAGAGCAGGAAAAGCACTTTGCCCCCTGCTTCAAGTTGGGCCCCAATGGACAAGGAGAAAACCTCCTCTCATCACTGGATTCTGAAAGTCAACCAAGGAGCTTGCTGCTACTGGGGAGCAAGCTGGGGCTTGTGCACTGTCCAGCAGATGCACAGTTAAGATTAAAACTTATTTAACACAAACAAGAGGCTGGAGTATCCCCTCCTTCTCAGGCCCATTAACTATTTGTGTAACAGCCCTGTAACATCAGAATCACCAGCTGACTCCATAGCCAATTTTAAGGTTACCCTATAGCACTTCAGTCTTAATAGATAAACATGGAAAGCTGGTGGAAGCTGGTCAGGAGATACAGCTGTTCCTATTTTTATATAGTTTCCCACCTAGTCTGTGTACACAGCAGGCTCAACGTCCTCTGATCTCAACTACTCCTCTGTGCCATGTCCCAACACAAAAGAACAGCTGATGCAACTTAACACTTAAGAATGCAGCACAAGCAATCACTAAAAGTCAAAAAAGATTTCAATTTTCACTCATTTCCACAGGTGAAGAGGCAATGGCCTCATGGGAATCTGGAGGTGTTTGTCTTGTATCTGCTCAGGCACCTTTATACTGGAAAGATCATGATAACAGAGAAATGTTAAGCTAGAATTGCCAGTTCCTGATATTCAGAATAATATGGTTTGGACTGCCTCTCAAGGAGGCTTATCAGTTCGGTGACAAGTGTGCTCTAACACAATTAACACTACTCCCAGACCACAGCTGATTCTTCTCTCCAGGCTCCTCAGAGCCTGGCCATTGCCACACAGGTAATGCACGTGGCCATGCACCACGTAGGCCCACACATGCATGCACTGTGAGCTCCAGGAGGTATCAGTACCTGGCTGTAGCTCCTCATAAGGCAGCACTGCACGGAAGTTTGTTACTGCAAAGAAGAGCTGAAGGGTATAGATGGGAACCCAGAACAAGCTGGCAAAGCCAACAAGTAGTAAATGAACAATGTCTGTGAGGCAAGACTTTATCCTCAAACAGCATAACAACAGCTCCACATCCCTTCGGGCTGCTCTGAACAGCCAAAAGCACACTGCATCTGATTATTAACCACTGACTCCCTTCTCCCCGTGTTAACTCCCCAAAGTACCGTTTGTTGTGTGCTTAGCACAAACAACAGGGAGGGTCCCCCCTCCCAGTCTCCAGAGAGCGAGGGGCTCCAAGAGCTCTGCCCGTCCAGCTGCAAGACTGGAGGATCTATCTGCAGGTGCCTGAGGTGCAGACGTCCTCCATGCGATCCCGGGTCTGACTGAGGCCTACAAACCGCCCCAGAGCAATCTTGGGCTTCTCTTCGGTCTTCAGTGCTTTCTCTAAGCCCTGCCTCCATGCTCCCTCGGTATCACCGCCGGGCTGTGCGGGGACTGCTGGCTGCCCCCGCCGCACCACGTCGGGGCTGCGAGGGGCCTCCGTGCTGCCTCGGCGCCATCTTCAGGCTGCATGGTGCTTCTGCGCCAGCTCTGTTCGTTACTCCCCCGCTGTCTTCACACATTTTCTTACTCTCCCTCATATGATACCTTAAAATCTCTCAGCTTAAAGGTGCCTCCTGCCATCTCCCTCTGGGCTGCCCACAACATTTTTTGTACTCTCCGAGCTGCCCCAGTGCCACGTCTGCACTGGCTGCTGCATCTAGGCTCCCTCAGGAACCTGTCATCCCTAAAAACTGGTCCAGAGCTGCTCTTGTTTCCATTCTTCTCTCCCTTAAAGCTTCTGCTGGACTGTCACTCATAATTCAGCTAACTGCCTCACAGGAGAATGGCTTCACTGTAGCCCTGGAGAATGGGACACCCAGAGTCAGTCCCCTCACCGAGGCGTATAGTTTGGCTGGAGCCCAGCAGACTCGACATTAGCCCTCACAGAAGCCTTCACGCTGGCCCAGCACACCAGAAGAGCTGAGCAAGCTATGTCCTGGCAGCCTGGACCTTGGTACTGGGCCAGCAACCAAAACTTCTGATCCAGAAACGGGGGAGAAACCTAGTTCTTTACAACAAACTAGATAGCTTAAGATGCCAACAGCTGGTCTGCCAGGATATGCTGGGCACTTCTATACTACATCATCATGGCAGACAACAGCACCGGGATGTGTTTGACCAGTCATCAGAGGTGTCAGGCCCTCAGTAGCACAGTTCGTAGGAATCAGATGGGTTTGGTGACCCCCGTTCACAATGCCTGGCCACTACACAAAGGCTACTGTAGCTGACTAGAGTTCTCACTGTTTCAAATAATAACCTTAGGCTGGGAGGGCTCCTGATGCAGTATCTAATATTCACTATTTATTAGCTCTGTTTGGTGCACCATGCTGAACAAACATGTAAATCTACCAGAAATGTAGGATGTAGAGGATACAGACAATATAACGCAAAGCTGGTTAGACAGCTGCAATACATTTTCCTGGGGCCCTCCTTAATCTTCTGCTTACCTAGACTGTGGCAGTTCATCTGTTCAGCAGAGTTGGTTAATGTGAGTTTATCACAGCTGTGCTCTGTGAGCTGTGATGACTCTCCACCTCCTCACTGAAGTTAGAGAGGTTTCTAAATGCAAACATATATATTTTCTACCCTCCCCTAATCTTTCAATGAACATTTTTTATTTTTATCTTCTCATTCTTTATTTTCCTTTTCTCTTTCTTGGTCACTGTAAAAAGGGAAGGGAAGGGAAGGGAAGGGAAGGGAAAACAAGTAAATAAAAATCCAACACATTCTGGATTTAGGTTTTTCTTGTTACAAATGTAATCATTAAAGAACTCACTTGAAATTCTATTTCCATTCTCATCAAATGGAACACGGCTTTAATTTTAATCAATACATGTTTGTACAACATAAGAACTGAAAAACTTAGGGACAGAAACCTAACAATACTTCTTTTGGCATGGGAATTATAAAGGAATCTAAGGGTGATAGTATTTATTATTTGTATTACTAAGGGGCCTAGGAAGCTTACTCTGGAACAAGGTTTTCTTTGTACCAAACAGTACAATAACAGAACAGAGAAGACAGTCTTAGACCATACCTATGCAATCCAGTCATGCCCGTTGCAGACAGCCATGAAGTAGCACTGACCCAGACTTGTACATCTATAAAAGGCAGTGAAATTGTGTCTAGAAATACTTACCAAAGTCCTGGAAACATTAAATATTTCATTAGCATAGTCCTGTGCTTGAGCTAATAAACCCTGCCTCTTGGTGTTTAGAAGCCAAATATCACCTTTACATTACTTTTAATTCATGCATATAATTTAAAATATGGCTGTATTAGAAGGCTCTACTAAAACCAAAAGTAGCTTATTTCCAAATTTCACCTTTATCCTGCTGGCATTTCTGCCAGTGAAAAAACTACCCTTGCTGCCACCTTCAGATGAGCCTCCTGCTACTGCAGTTTATCAGTGACCAAATGGTCTGTATAGGCCTGATGAGGGAATGGTGAGATCAGCTGCAGATGAGAAACAGGGAGTATTGCAGCAAAATATATAAAGCGAAATATATAGAGCAAAACATTTTATCTCACTCTTCTGGAAGATTTTTAGCATGTGATCTGAGTGATCCAGACTATGCATGCAGACTAGTCTGGGACAGATAAAAGAAAATACCTCTTCTCAGAGTATGTGGGAAGTTCATACCCACAGGAAGTCAGAAAATGAAATACTTGTGGACAGATTTTAAAGGATCATGAAGTTTTATGAGTTATAAAATCTAAAGCTAGGCCTGAGCTATAGAGTTCAGCTCAAACATAAATCAAAGTAGGAAATTTGGCTTGGGTTATATGAGAAATTAGAATTGATGGTACAGTTACAATTTGGATCTAGGTACTCAGAGTTCAATGAACAGACTTGCATTAAACATGTTTGATAAAATTTTAAGCTATATGTATCAGGAAATGCATCAGTAAATAGTCATTTTTCAAAGCTTGAAGAATCCACACCACACAAAGGAAGGATTCTTATCTTCTAACACCATCAATAAAGAATTAGCAAGGTAGCAGTGAGTGATACATGTCATAGTGAATTCAGGGCAAGAGAAATAGATCACTGAGCAGATCCAGTGTGGAAAAATACTTTTTTCCACTGTCCTAGCTTTTTAAGTTGTGGATCTGGGGAAAAGCAATTATTTCACATTAACATTGTGAAGCTAGTTTTATTTCTGTGTGCTAGCAACAAAGTGCATGAGGAAGAATATGTGTCTGAACTTGAGGAATAAATTGAGCTGTGGAGTGTTGCCATATCTTGTACTCTACTGGGTAAAACTAATCACAATCCTGTGTATGTTTCTTAAAACCCTAGCTTCATAAAAGCCTCAGCTACAGTTTCCAGCCCTTCTGATATGAAAATCTTTAGAACATGATACAATGCATAATAAATGTTAGAAAAACAGAGAAAATTTCTTCTTCTGTTATCATGATTTTACAACAATCACAGGCAGGAAAGGACCATCTCATGATTTTTTAACCTCTTGACAAGCCCTCACTGGGGAAGAATATTGTGAATCTGTGGAAATACATCCTTAAATGCTAGGGGGGGGAAAAAATCATATACTGAGTTTAGCAGTGGATATGTAGAACTCATTTAGATATGGAAGGTGATTATCTGGCACATACCCTGATTAAAAATGTTCCATTACTGTCTCCTTTCTGAGTATGATCTTCATGGCAATTTATCTATGTCTGTTACATTCAGAGTAAGATGAGGTGGCTGTTAACACCTTGTATATAATATTTGTAACACCCTATACCACTCTTTGCATAACAAGTTGAAACTGAGGTAATCTGAGTAATGCTTTGTCATTTCAAATTATTTTCATTTCTATTCTAAAAGCAGAAAGTGGCAGAGAAGAATATAGTGAAAAAGAAGGCCCTTCTAAAAAAATAAATTTTTTTGAGATTGCTGTGAGTTTGAATTTTGAATTTCAAGAAATCCAGAAAATATTAATTTCTCTAATGCATATGGTAAATAATGTAACCTTATTTCCACAATTATGCCATACTTAGTAAATAGTTTAATATAAATATGTGTCCATTATATACTATGTACTGGAGTAAACCAGAAAGTACTATGTATACTCCATAAACATGCAATGTCATTCTTTTTTCTGGGATAGAAAGTTGCATGCTTAAAGCTACTGTACAGACAGACAGAAATGGAGATGCATCTTGACATATTCTTAGGGACATGGATTACTGTACTTTTTTTCCCAATTCCTGTCACAATGGATCCATTTTGTAACCCTGCTCCCTGGCTCCTGGGCATGCCCTCCTCCAGCACCCAGCATGAGTAAAAGAAAGAAAGAAATAAGAAACAAATAAAAGGACCCATTGAACCCAACCCCTAGCCCAGCAGGCGAATTACCTAACCCTTCCATGTTTACACATTTTTACTTCATTGTTTTAGATTATACATATGTTTTCTTTATTGCTATACTTTGTTTCCATCATAACAAAATTGTTTAGTCTGTATCTTCCCTTTCAAGTTATTTGAAAGGTGTTGGAAGACACAGAAACTGCAAGCAGCATTAAAATGGTAAGCACTCCAAAGTGAGAAATATCAGAATTAAAATTTATGCATCATCCCCCTCTTGGTCATATTCATTAATTACACAATCACAACTCATAATGTTTTTATTTCAGACATCCCCTGCCTTAGTGCACAGAGCACATGGTGCTTAAGAATTAAGTTGGGGATTTAGGAAGTACAATTTCTTGACTATTGAACTGATTAACTTAATGTACAGTACAGTGTGTGCAATTATTCCTGTGGTAACAGCATTTAGAGATACTATCAGAGGTTTGAAGTAAAGGTAGGGTATGTGATTGACATTAATATAGCAAAAGAGATCCTTTGCCCCCAAAACTTTCCAAGCTAGACAGACAGAATAGCCATGGTTTAGCAAAGTGGTAGAGATCTATTTGCCCAGGGTCCTGTCTACTGTATTGGCCACATGAGTAATTAATGCAGCTCTGACAATAAACCCTGTATTTCAAAAGTCTGTTTCTGGACAAAGTGTGGTTATGCTGGAGAGTTTTTTCCAGCTACCTTTGCCCTAAAGTGCTGGATTATTCTTTGGAGGAAGAATGCAAGAAGAGCAATTCAAACTGGTGATAATGCCCTGGAGTTAGGTCTGTGATTGATGTCACACATTGTCACAATATAGCACTGCCCCCCCCCCCAAAATTAAAAAGATACAACAGATCTGAATCTCACTGCTTCTCTACCAGTGAGGCACACAGAGTGGTGCTGTTACACACTTGGAGCATAATTACGTATTTATATATTAGCAGTAACAGTTTCAACTATATCCTAGGCCTCTCCTTTGACAAGGTAAGTGGCAATGTTTTTTGAACTAGGGTTTTTTACACATGACAGCACAGCCTGGTTGCCGAAGACACCTGTCATTATAACATCAAGTTTTACAGCTTTTGTCATAGAGCAGTCCTTTGTGGAGTGGGCTCTTAGAACAATTTAATTGTTCCCTCTGATGGATTTATATTTGTACATTTACAAACACATAGATGCAAATCAACCATGGGATGAAATAGCACCTGCATATATAGATGAAGCTGTTCCTATATGGACACGTTAAAGGAAGAAACCACAAAACTCCTACATCTGAATGACCCAGAAAGAGGACTGCTCTGAACTTTGCTCATGTGAGTGGCAAGCTTCACTCATGGCACTCACACATGACACCAACAGAGTGCATCCAGACAGGGTAGACCATCTTTAGACTCTTCCCTACGCATGTATTCATACATAGCAACAAGTGACGTTTTGAAAGCAATACAATAACATGCTCTTCCCAGAGTCCCTAGTCTATTCTTGCAGCTAACTCCAGCAAGTAGAATGACTGGGGTAGCAACTCATTTCAGACTTAAAGCCAAGAATCTGTTCTTGCATGTCTTTGGTATGTCATACTGGAGCTCTGAATGTTGACAACTCACATGGGTACAGCCTGCAGCTGCATCCCACATATTCTGATCCTCTTTCAAACTCTTAATACAATAGGGTCTCAAATACATTGTGAGCAGAAGAAAACAACCCCCCATGTTCTATTTTGGTATGGTGAGCCCAAAGTCTATTGGCTGGGAGCTGTCATCAGACATGACCATATGTTACTCAATGGTATTACAAGTAAATCCTAATTGAGTGCAAATTATGAAGATTAAAGTCACCTCAGATTTAGCTGTATTATGCTGAGGCAAATGTATTTCAAAGTCCTGTTTAAAATGCTGGCAATTCTCAGCACAGAAATTAACAGGCTGTCATTACCTTGGATTTTATGAGCTGTTCTAAATGTCTGGAGTTCCTTGTTTGGAGCCCTTAGTCATAGAATGTAAGAACAGTCCTTTGCAGCTCAGACTGAAAAACACCAAAGACAATGTATTGTCAACAACTTTTGAAAAAATATTAAATGTTGATACAACTAAGTCACTGAAGAATCTTCGGGTATAAGCTTTTCATAAATAATGCTGAAAGACTGGATTACGGCTGTTGCAATGGTGGTTAAAATCAAAGATTTGAATGTAAGCAATCCACTGTTAGGATAAGCCAGGGCCAGTTTATAACAGGCAATGTATTACCTTTTAGAAACAACTGCCAGAAGGATCTTCCTTGGTGATTGAAGTTTATTACTGTTTCATAAGAGGTCTGTGAAGTACTAAGGAGCTGAATTTCATCTATTGGTGCACTTCAGATGATGCACTCCATTTTAATGAGATTAAAGGTTTAATGCAGATAAAATATTTTTATCTGTACAGTGCACCTGGATTCAACGCAGGGATTTCAGTGTGATTCACAGAGAGCCATTGGAGAGCTACATTCATCTTGATCAATAAGAGCTTCTGTTTTCTTTCCTTCTTTTCTATTCCATACAAAGTAAAAATGATCAGGACACATTTCTTCCTGTTTTCAGCACTGATCATGTGTAGCATACCTGCTGAGGAAATCTTTCAGCCAACCCTAGTGCTGGACATGGCTAAAGTTCTTCTGGATAACTACTGCTATCCTGAAAACCTAGTGGGAATGCAAGAAGCCATTGAACAAGCAATCAAGAGCGGGGAGATCCTGGACATCTCTGATCCAAAAATGCTGGCCAGTGTTTTGACAGCTGGAGTGCAGGGTGCTCTGAATGACCCAAGACTGGTGATTTCCTATGAACCATCACTGCATGCAGCTCCCAAACCAGAAGCTGAGCCTTCCCCCACTAATGAACAACTTCTGAGTCTTATTGAGCATGTGGTCATGTATGACAAGCTGGAGGGCAATGTTGGCTACCTGAGGATTGATTATATCATAGGACAGGAATTTGTGGAGAAAGTTGGAGCTTTTCTGGTGGACAAGGTGTGGAAGACGCTAATAGATACATCTGCCCTGGTGATAGATCTTCGTCACAGCACTGGGGGACAGATTTCTGGCCTCCCCTTCATCATCTCATACTTGCATGAAGATGACAAGATGCTGCATGTTGAGACTGTATACAATCGGTCCTCCAACATCACCACAGAGATATGGACACTGCCAAAGGTGTTGGGAGAAAGGTACAGCAAAGACAAGGATGTAATTGTTTTGATCAGCCGCCAGACCACAGGAGTGGCTGAAGATGTGGCTTACATCCTCAAGCACATGAACAGGGCTATCACTGTTGGGGAGAAGACAGCTGGGGGCTCACTGGACATCCAGAAGCTGCGTATAGGCCCCTCCAATTTCTATATGACAGTTCCTGTGTCACGATCTGTGAGCCCCTTGAGTGGAGGTGGGCAGAGCTGGGAGGTGAGTGGGGTGATGCCATGTGTGGCTACTGAGGCGGAGCAAGCCTTGCAGAAATCCCTGGACATCTTGGCAGTGCGCAGAGCAGTGCCTGGCACCCTAAGTCAACTCACAAACATATTAAAGGACTATTACAGCTTAGTGGAGCGGGTGCCATCACTGCTGCGGCACCTCGTCACCTCTGACTTCTCTTCTGTGCAGTCAGCAGAGGACCTGGCCACTAAGCTCAACACTGAGATGCAGACCTTATCTGAAGACCCCCGCCTGTTGGTCCGAGTCATGATGCCAGATGAAGCTGCTGCCCCCCCTGCTGAGAAGCCAATTGCTGTGGCAGCTGACTTACCTGACAATGAGCAACTGCTGCACGCCTTGGTGGATACTGTCTTCAAGATGTCGGTGTTGCCAGGCAATGTTGGCTACATACGCTTTGATGAGTTTGCAGATGCCTCTGTGCTTGCTAAGCTGGGACCTTACATTGTCCACAAAGTGTGGGAGCCCCTCCAAACTACAGAGAACTTGATCATGGACCTACGTTACAACCCTGGGGGCCCTTCCTCCTCTGCTGTGCCTGTGCTTCTCTCCTATTTCCAAGATCCTGCTGCTGGGCCTGTCCATCTCTTCACAACCTATGACAGACGTACCAACCACACACAGGAGTACAACAGCCAGGCAGAACTGCTGGGCCAGCCCTATGGGGCTCAGCGTGGAATCTACCTGCTCACTAGTCACCACACTGCTACGGCTGCTGAGGAGTTTGCTTACCTCATGCAGTCCCTGGGCCGTGCCACACTGATTGGTGAGATCACAGCAGGAAGCCTCTCACACACTCGTACATTCCCTCTGCTGCAGCCTAAGCAGGGAATAACCTGTGGCCTAACTGTCACAGTTCCTGTTATCACCTTCATTGACAACCATGGGGAAAGCTGGATGGGTGGAGGAGTTGTGCCTGATGCCATAGTGTTGGCTGAGGATGCACTGGAGAAGGCTGAAGAGGTGATAGCTTTCCACAAGAACATGGGAGTACTTTTGGAGGGTACTGGGAAACTCCTAGAGGCTCACTATGCCATCCCAGAAGTGGCTGGTAAGGCCAATGCTATGCTCAGCACCAAACAGGCCCAAGGAGGTTACCGATCAGCTGTAGACTTTGAGACATTGGCTTCCCAGCTTACCAGTGACTTGCAGGAGGCCTCAGGGGACCATCGGCTTCATGTCTTCCACAGCCATGTGGAACCAACACCAGAAGAACAGCTTCCAAACATGATTCCCAGCCCTGAGGAGCTGAGCTACATCATTGAGGCGCTCTTCAAAACTGAGGTACTTCCAGGCAACCTGGGCTACCTTCGCTTTGATATGATGGCTGAGGCAGAAACAGTGAAGGCCATTGGGCCCCAGCTGGTGCAGATGGTATGGAACAAGTTGGTGGACACAGATGCCATGATTATTGACATGAGGTACAACACAGGTGGCTACTCTACTGCTATCCCAATACTTTGTTCCTACTTCTTTGAGCCTGAGCCTCGTCAACACCTCTATACCGTCTTCGATCGTAGTACCTCCCGCAGCACAGAGGTGTGGACTTTCCCCCAAGTCACTGGCAAGAGGTATGGCTCCCTCAAGGACATCTACATCTTAACAAGCCATATGAGTGGCTCCGCAGCTGAAGCTTTCACTCGCTCTATGAAGGATCTCCACCGGGCCACAGTTATTGGTGAGCCCACTGTCGGTGGTTCTGTCTCAGTGGGCATTTATCGTGTTGGTAACAGTTCCCTATATGCCTCCATCCCCAGCCAAGTAGTGCTCAGCCCAGTCACTGGAAAAGTATGGAGTGTGTCTGGGGTGGAGCCACACATCACCATCCAGGCCAGTGAAGCCATTGCTGTAGCTCAGCACATTGCCAACCTGCGTGCCCAGGTGCCACAGACACTGCAAACTGTAGGCAAGCTTGTGGCAAATAATTATGCCTTTGTGGACATTGGGGCTGTTATAGCATCCAACCTCACCAAGAACATCAACAAAGACAGTTATAAAAGGATTAATACAGAAGAGGAGCTGGCCAGGATGGTGACTGCCAACTTGAAAGCTCTTTCTGATGATGAGCACCTGAAATTACTCTACATCCCTGAACATGCCAAGGACAGCATTCCAGGGATCATGCCAAAACAGGTACTGCTCTCTTGTACCCAGCTATACTGATGCCAGCTAGAGTGGGAGCACTGAGTCAGATATCTTACCTTGTTTCTATGCCATATCATAAACCCACCAGGATTTGCCTGTACCCAGAGGAGAAGCCAGTGCCTGAGTGGGGTTTTGGAGGTTGAGCTCCCTCTGACAGTAAGGCAAATCAGGGTAGCAGCTTGTAGTAGTAGATGGTAGTTCTGGATGTATGCATTTTGGGAACAACCTTCAGGTTGTGAATCTCTGCCAGTTGCTATCTGCCCCAAGCAAATATGCAGGGCTTCACAGTTAGAAGGAAGATATCTCGTTGTCTCTATAATCCCCTCTCTTTCAGTGCTATGGCTTTTCAAGCTGTAATAAATGAATGCAGAAACCCACTGGTTACAAAATGAGTTTGTAATTTAAGAAAAATTTTGTTGGACCAGAGTAAATGCATATACCCACAAAACATGCAGCCACATACACTTTAATGGATTCTTCTATATAAAATTGCTGTACCTGACTTCTATTACACCAGAATAACAAGTAACTCTTTTGGTAGTGACAGCAGAAAGTTGAGTCTCCCAGTGACCTAGAAATACTTTGGAAGAAGTATCTGGGTGGAAGTTAGGTGACCCCAGGGAAAAATTGATTTTTAATAATCTACTTTTGTCCTTGCTATGTGGTTTGCATAACAGTCTATGCTTTGTTCCAAGCCTGGGTATTTATACACTAGTCTGCCTTGGCAATCTTTCTTGTTCATTGTTGTGCTGGAGGGAGCTCCCAGGAGCACTTGTTAAAATTCCATCTTCAAATTAAAGGAAGGGTTAGGATAACCTGATCCCTTTCTTGGATGGAGTTAGCTCCTTTCTGGCTACTGCTCTAGCATGGCTATCAGAGATGTCTTTTCTCCAGGGACTCATAAAATTACTTTTTGAAGAGAATGTATTTGCCTTTGCAATGAACCAGAGTATACCAAGTGTCAGATAACTATTAAATGTTTCCCGGGGGAGGAAATCTATGGGCTTCCACCCTCTGAAGTTTTTGGCATGCATGATATAAGGCGAGCATGACCTTTGTGGTATTGTCTCCAACACTAAGGTCAAGGACAGAGTCTAAGCATTGCCAGGGGAGTGCATTTTTATCAAGTTTTTTAACCAAGAGATTCTGGCCCCATTCTTGCCTCTAAGCTTAAATGGAAATAATTAATTAAAGGATTTTTCTATTCCATCACTTACTTTCCCTCCTGCATTTGTTGGGTGTGGAAAACTTCACTCTAAAGATGTTTTTGACAGAGCTCCCTGCTATGTTATTAGCAACTTATCAGTAGTGATACATCATAATTTCTTCCCATTCTATAAAGTAGACCCATCTTGCAAATTAATCGCTTTTTTCACTGAAGGCTGTTAATAGATGTTGTTGGCTATTTTTACTTGTTCAGACCTTACTTTATTCAGACCTTGAATGTTGAGAACAAGATGTAAAGGACAAATATCTTATTTGTCTCATGACATGAAATCCTGATCCTGATAGAGCTAGTGAGGAAATGACATTATAGTAATTAATGCTTCTGTTTATCTCAGTTCTTTGTCAAGCAAAGTGATGGGAAGAGGTCAGACATACATACATAAGAATGAAATCACATCAGTGTGGATGAAAATCAGGACAGTGTGGATGAAAATGTGAGATTTATTCAAGGGGAAATAATGTATAAATAACAGTGGAGAAGCACAGGTTTCTTATGAAGCTAAAATAGTTTCCAAAGGTGTATGCATTCTCTTATAGCGCTTAAGGAAATTGGGAGGCAGAGAGACAAGAGAGCAGTGGTAAGACATTTTAAGGTGAAAGAGGATGAATGAACGAAGACAATGAAGTCATTAAAGGCTTTTCCTTGTGATAGAGGTAAAAGAAAATTCACCTATTCCACAAAGCACTGGGGAGCAGGAGTACCTTCATTCCTGCCTTGCTTTTGCAGAGTCAAGAGGGTTACTTTGCGTAGAACATTTCGGGAATACCCCATACCAACACCCCAGAGAGCAAATGCCTTCAGATTACAGTGAAGCTTACATGATGGCATTAATTGCATTTATAAATTATTAATTTTTTTGGACAGTCCTATACATGGAAATGGTAGCTCTTTTAATCTGTATCACATTTATTCCTCAAAAACCTAAAAGCTAATTTTTCTCTCATACTACCTACTTCCAAGCCACCCTTTCCCTTGACAGTAGAATTTTCTTGATAATGACCTTGACAGTGAAGCAGATCCAACACAATTAAATGAAAGTGATGATGAATAACTGCAGGAAGGATGGGATGGGACATAGGAGACAGACAAGTGAAATGCGTGTAGGCCTTTGCATCTGCTACACTAGAAGAGCTGCTGAAGCATAATGCAGGGTAGTGAATATGTCTCCTCTATGACAGCAGCAAGGTCAATGCTAGCTGGAGTTGTCTGCTGCATAAATGCCACTTTACAAAGTCAGACTTCCCAGCGGCAAATGTTGTATGTGTTACTTGTGATTCAGAAAACAGCATTTTGCTTGTAAGTCAGAGCTCTATAAACTTGCTGATGTGCAGTTCAATAAGCCCTACTTCTTATTCTTCTGTTTGCCTCTCTGCCTCCAGTCATACCTTCCGTTCATACTGAAACACTTGTGTTCATGAATATCTGAGTATTGTAGACTACCTATGGAAGAACTACTGCCTGATTTTGGCAAATGTGTTATGTTAATTTTAAGTGAGAAGTGTCTCACTGAGTGACTTTATTGGCCCCTTGATAATGCCCAAATACTTCTAATGCAGTCTTCATGCCTAAGAGAATTTTTGTATTAATGTTTTAGATAAGCAGCTGAAAATGCTGATCAAAGACAAAAAGGAATCCTTTATAAAGAGAAATTATTCCTTCATTTAGAGGAATTTCTCAGATAAATAATATGTATCCATAGCAGAGTATTATACTTGCTGAAGGAGGCAATATTTACAGATATTTCACCAGAAAGGAGTACAGTTTGCTCATGTCCCTTCATTAATGAGTGAAATCAAAATGTTCAGCCTCAAAGTGTCAAGATAGATAATCAAATTCCTACATCTGTTCCCAGCAGGTGGAAAAAAATCGTTGTGGGCCTATATGATGCTGATTTATATCAATATAATCACAGTAAACTCAGTGGATCTATACAGGTTCATGCAAGCCAAAAAAATGTCCCATGTTTGACTTTCATTGACTCATCACCTTTTGCAGTTCATGTTTGCTTCTTGTATTTGGCGCAGAAAAGAATATGACACTTTATTAATCACTCCTGTTCTGTTTCTAATACCTTTCATCTTCTGATCCTGATACTCAAGCTCAATGCAGCTACATCTGCCATTACAATCCCACCAAAGAGATTTCTTTGTGATAATTTTTTCTATTATTATTAATGCTACAGTAGATTTGGCCATTAGTTTTAAGGATTTTAAATGGGTTTTGGATGAAAATCAAAACTTAACCATGAATCGTGTTTTCAGGTTTTGCTTTCAAATGTAATCTTCCAGGGCATTGACTAGAAAATAACTGCTCACTGGCTTGCAATGAGTATTACAAACTGTGTATTGTCAGAGCAGGCTTACACACCACTGTGCAGTGCCACCCTTAGCGGGGTGAAAGTACAGCTTCTCACTCTGCCCTGCACTCCCTCAATGGGGATTGAGAGCCTTAAATAACCTCTTTTAATCCTTTCCAGAGCACTGTCCCAGAGGGTTTCAGCTTTTGCTTGTGGTAAACCCCCCATCCTGGCTGTCTTGGTGCAATGGAGAGCAGGATTAGAATTCAAAGCTACAGTTCTGGAAAAACTGGAGAAATGATCTGTGAAAAGCAGGATGAGGTTAAATGAGAACACATGCAGGGTTCTTACACAGTTTCTAGGGTGATAGTAATTGACTGCACAACTCTGGGAGGAAAAACAGCTTGTTTAGGGGGAGCACTGTAAAAAATTATGTGGGTTTTTCAGAGTTCATAATCTGAATACAAGTCAGTAGAGTCAAGTTGCAGTAATAAATAATAATGATCAAACTGGAATGGATAATGAGGAATATAATCAGTAAGACGTGAACTCTTCTGCCACATTCAGCTCTAAAGAAAATTCATCTAGTGTATACTATGTACAGTATTGGACAATGCTTTTCTGGAAAGATGTGGCTCAAATGCAGAAACAGCAGAAAAGAGGAACAGTAGTAAAGAGAAGACTGAATAAGAGTCATCCCTAAAAAGTTTAAAAGATTTGAGTTGTTTATTCCAGAGAGAAGAAAACTGAGAGGAGACATGAAAACAGTCTTCAGATATATGAGGCTGTTTCAAATATGAAGAGAATAATCTGTTCCCTTGTCCATGGTAAATAGGCCAAGAAGTAATGCACTTAAACTGTAGAAAGTAGTGAACTTAGACTGTTTACACTAGATGTTAAAAACATCTTTGTAATAGTAAAGCTAGTGACGTACTAGGCTGGATTGCCTGGAAATGACCCAGTGATATGGGTGTTTTTAAGAGCAAGTGAGAATCAGCTGTAAGGGATGTAGCTGATCCTGCTCTGTCCTTGAGCTGGGGGACCTACTAGGATGAATGGTTCCATTCCAGACTGTGAGGGTACACAAGGAACCCAAATGTTATTCTAAGAAAGAAAGACGCAACCCCACTGCCCAGCATTCAGAATCTCGTGGTTCTTAAACCAATCTCAGGATTTGCAATGGCACAGGGGTGTTGGCTTGTAGTATTTTAACAGCTGGCAGTTGACAGCACAACCAACCTTAACATTGCAATGGTCAGCACAATTAGCTATGAAAATATAGTTTCCATCTAAATAGACAAAGCAACTTAGGGGAGAGGTGAAAAAGAAGAAAAGAGGGAAGAGTGGCACAGTTGGAAAAGTAGTTTGCCCATGGTTGGGGTATATGTCAGTAGCAGAATTAGGGATGAAACTCCATGCATGATTTGTAGGGCAGCGTTCTAGGTTCTATTTTGTGTCACATCACTTGTTCCAGTTAGGCTAGTCACTTGCAGAAGGAGACTGCAGAATAGGGCTGAAGACTCTATATAGTTAACAAAAACCAATTCTTCCTTGGCCTAAGTGGTGTTAGCTTAGAGGTCCATTAGTTGACCCACATTGCTTATCATGTTCTTAGTAAGGCACCTGAGGGTTTATATTTAACATCAAGTCATTTGTATGTAAACATTGCCTGAATGAGCAGCAGGATCTTACTTTCAGCTGCATCCTGTTCCCAGCTTGTTCTTGGCCTGCAGACAGAGCCCTGCCTTCCAAAGGAAAGTGTGCTGTTGCTCTCTGAAGCTAGTCTTACCCCTTAAGTACCAGCAGCACATGGCCCATGTGCCAGTGTCATGAACCTGTAGTTTTTACTCTCTACTGTCAGTATCAGCCTCCTCCCCTCTTTTGCTTAAAAATTAGGAGGCTTTCCCCAGCACACCAAAATTACATTCCGAGTGCTTTTCATTTGACTTCTGGTATTAGAGCCTTTAGAATAGATATATTTTCATACCTTTTCCTGCAGCCATGAAGATGAAGAAGAGTTTCTTTGAGATCCTTGAATATTCATTTTATCCTATGAGACTTAAGGCTTTAAAATAAATCTGCTCACCTTGAAATCCAGGAGTTAGCAACACTGCTAGCAAGTACTGAAGTCCTCAGTGCACAAACATGTAATGCAGCACAGTAAAAGAACAAGTGGAAAAAAATTATTTACCAGACAGACAGAGGGGTTGTTCTTAATCAACATACTTATGGGTATGCATCTAGCAATTACTGTTGGAGTCAAAGCTAAGAAATCTGTGCATTTAGTTAAGATATCATTAGTAAGTGACTGAGAGCAACACATTAATTTTATTTGGAGATGTTACCAATGAGTGATGACTTTTTTCTCCTAGGGGCACCAGTACCTCTGAACTATATAAGCTCTGTCAGAACAATGAAATTCATGCTGGATATATTCTTCAAAACTGTGATTTGTTAATCAAAGTACAGTGGGCAGATCAAGCAGCATTGCTGTCACTGGGAAGTTGATTGGAAGTGACAAACTCAGTAGTGCTGGACTTCTATGCAGTCCAGATACAATGTTATCTGGACTGCATATCAGTCCAGATACAATGGTTATTTTCACAAGGTACAGTGAGAAGGAAGGTACAGAAAAGGACTCAGTGGAGTTTGCTCTTACCATCAGATCAATAACTACTTGCCAACTGGGCTTTTAAATTAATGTTTGAAATTTTTGCCTTTTTGGCATACGGAAGGAACTGAATGATGAAGAAACCTGGGGCAGCCAGAAGTGTGATATGGTGGGTAATTTTCCCTCAGGTAAAGGCAAAGTGCTTGAGCTGTGTCAAACACAGCTGCATTTATACACCTTGGAAACCCTCTTTCTGCTGTGGCAGACCTGCTTTTGGCAGGAGTGCAACCCCAGGCCAGAGCTCTACCTGTAGGGCAGGAGATTGCCTGATGACTCTACAATTGCAGAAAGCCCAAATGCCTCCCAGATTCTGCAGTATATTGCAGGTTGGGAGAGCACCTTTTAGCACATGGCTTACTGCTTACTCCTTGTACTTTTGGGTCTAAATTATGGATTGTCTGGGGCTGAACTATGACAGAGGGCAACTGATTAAAAAGCAAGTATAAAATCATTTTCACAGCAGTCCTGAGGAGAAAAGGCCAAATTGTTGAAGGTCACATAAGTCATATATATCCCAAAGCCTTATGGCCTTAAATTGAAGGCGAGTCTTGCATTTTCAGACACATGTAAGCAAAACAGAAGTTTGGCAATAGGATCAGGCTACGTCTCAATGCATGTAGGGGTTGCTAGGATGACTTTATTAGATACCTACACATTGCTATTTAAAAATGTCTGCTGTTCAATAACATAAGCTAAACAAAATGAAATTAATCACAGCCTAACACGTGAGACTGCAGACACACAGCCACCATATAAGAGATTTAACACATCAGCCTCATAAGTATCCTAGCACATGCCCAACACATCAGATTCCTTACTCTCACAGGGATTGGCTTATTAAGAGGGGCTGGGGCCATCCCCACCTGTAGCTAGCAGCTGTTTGTCAGCTGAGGCCAATCAAGAGATTATAAAAGTCTCAAGTGCCTTATTTAGAAAGAACTGCAAAAGGAAACAAGTGGGCTTGGGTGGTAGGTCTGGGACAGTGGTCTGTGCTGCAGGCTGGGGAATGCTTCTTATAGCCTTTGCAAGCTCTTTGGTCCAAGGAAATTCCTTTATTTTTGAAAAATAAACTGAGCCCTGACAAATAGGTGCCTGCTCCATATTCTGGGCACCCTATGCTGGGAAAACAGTTCATCAGCCAATGCTAACCTGTGTTTAATATGCAAAAATCTTAATATCATTCATTATGTTCTTCAAGCTTGGTCACATTCCTCATATATGTCCCACCTGGACTAAACTTGATCCACATAATTCTTTTTAAATCTTGTGCCAAGCTATCAGTGCCAGCAAATGATTTGTTTTGTTTTTCCAAACTCTTTCAGATCCCTTCCCCAGAAGTATTTGAAGATCTGATTAAATTTTCATTCCACACAAATGTATTTGAAAACAACGTCGGCTATCTGAGATTCGATATGTTTGGAGACTCTGAACTTCTAACCCAGGTGTCCGACCTACTGGTAGAGCATGTTTGGAGGAAAATTGCTCACACAGATGCATTAATCATAGACATGAGGTAAACCTTTGAATGGCAAATAACCAAAGCTCTTTCAAAACAGCATTTTATTTGTAACAGTGAATTAGCTTTACATGGCTTACTGTCCTGTTTACAGGCTAAAATTGCTGGAATTAAATGAGAAAAGGAAAGCAGCCAAGGAAAACAATAACAGTCTGGGAGTATATCTCAAGATAAATTGTACCATCACTTGAGATGTTTACAACTAAATAGTCATATTTAGGGAATATATTGCAGAATGCAATCCTGGATGTCACATCTGTTTTTCTCTGATTTCTTTCTAATCTAACTCTGCATGTGCCTTGTATTCATTATATACATATATATATATATATATATATATGGCTTAATTAAATCTTTTACTGCAGGCAGTGGTCAAGTGATTGAACAGTCAAAAAAACAGACCATGCATAAGGCTGTATTACAACATCTGGTTTGCCATATCTGCAGTATTAAATTATCGTGTACAGAATGAGCCTTAAGCACAGAGGTGGCTTAAAGGTACTGTAGTACTCCTAGACGCTGCTGCAGCAAGCTACAGCATCATATGCCTGCTCTCAACTTAGGATACTGTTGAACACTCCAGCGTGTCAACAGTGCTGCAAATCTTATGAGCCAGAAGATGGCATCCTTTTGTTGCCAGCTATCAAAGCAGATGAGTATAACAAATATGCATTTCCCATACAATATTTAGGTAAGTCCTTCCCTTAGTTTGGTCCAGAGCTAATGTTTGTGAGACCAGAACATTATGAATATCGACTAAAGAAAAGAAGGCTTTTGTAAGAACTCATTTTTAACACTAGAACCACTTATGTCTGCTGCCATCATGGGGCTCTCGGTAATCTTCTTAACATTCTTCTGGGATTTGCAGCATGTGCAGGAAAAGATGAGCACAACAATGAGAGAAAGCAGAGAGAGAGATCTCACTGTGTGAGCACAGAGGAGGCAGGGCAACAACTAGCAAAACACACCCGTGACTGAATTAAAATTCAGCAAAGGCACCACTATCTTCCAATAGACTTGAGATGGGACTGGGACTTTCCTCTTTCTTGCCCCAGTTTTCTCCCAAGCTAAAACTTGTATCAGGGCCGGGGGCAATAAAACAGCAAAGGTGGAATCATGTCTCAGGTACCAAATGGTCTGATTATAGTTCTTTTCTTGGGTTGCTCTGGTGTTTTTATATTTAATATATTTCCAGCCCTTTGAGTGCACACAAAAGACCCAGTGTCTGAAGGCATATAAAAGGGAACCCCAAACATTTTACATTTTGAAATTCTCCCTAAACCAATCTTACGATTTTAAGCAAGACTGATAATTTCAATTTTGCTTGTGATTAACAATAATCAATGTTTTTCACCTTACAGGTTTCCCTCCCTGGAACTACTGGGCTACTCATGAACTTTGTATTTTGATAATTTCAATTTTGTATGGGATTAACCATAATGCATAATGACTCTCGCCTTAATAGTTTCCCTTCATGGAACAGCTGTGCCATTCATGAACTTCATGTTTTTAACCTTCACAGCATTGAGAAGAGATAAACAGCTTCCCAGATGTCACACAAGAAGTTTGTAATGAAGTACTTGCCTGCCTCCAAAAGTTAACCTAAAATTCTAGCAACTGCTCAGTTATTATCACTGACTAAAGTTTCTGTAGTTTCACTGCCTGCAAGAGAGTCCCAGGAATAGCTCTCCAGCACTGCTCTAGCTGCTTGTTTACCACATACTTCATTCATGATGGCAGCCTCCTGGCTGCCTCCTGGGCTGTGCAGCAGCAACAGGACCTCCTGGCAGCACAGCCCTACCCAGGACACATCTGAAGAGGCTTATTTCGGTTCTAGCTGGTCACAGTGTGAATCCAGCATACAGCTCCCAAATTCTGCAGAATAGAGAGGTAGCTTCAGTCTTTGGGACAGAGGCCTCCTGGATTGTCTAATCCTTTTCTAGAGGTGAAAAAAACTTAGTTATGGACTGGACTGAACAAAACTAATTTTCTAGCAGGTTTTTGCTAGAATGTCTGTGCCAGGCATTCCTAATATCACCTACAGGAAAGCACTGTATTTGTCTACTACTAATGAGGGAAATACAAACATTTCCAATGCTGTACATGCTCTAGTATTAGTGAAAAGTGAGAGACAAAATAGAATTCGGTATTCCATTGTGTGTATTCATAGCAGGAGTTTTCTGATGACACTTGGGCTCTTCAGTGAATTTAATCTTCAGAGACTGGTATGAAATTAAACTACAACCCAAGTTTTCAAACGTGACAGTCCTAAATGAAACAGCTAATGCAATCTTTAGGCACAAAAAGAAATGGCCTGATCTTAAAAGGTGCCAAACTCCAAGTGTTCTCATCGTGTGCAGCAAAAAATAAGAACATGACAGTCCTACAAACATATGTTGCTTAAATTGGGATCTACATTTATATATTAGGGTTTAGGTATTTACTCATGCTGCCTATGTCAGTAATAGCATGGGTTATTTCGAATAGAAGAATAACAAGAATCTGATGTTTCTCTGCATTTTAAGAGTCTTTGCTTACTTTCTGATTTTTTTCCAGGTTGAATCAAGAAAAGTGTAGATTCAGTTTTATGTTTGCTTTTGAAGTCATTTGTGGGCAATAACAATTCAAGACACTTACACAGGATTTTGTTTCTCTGATAAATATGTAAATGCTGATAGGGAAGAATTAATGTAAATTATCAAAATGTAGCCATAAACCCTTTCAGTACGGATGTTAAGGAACAATACTTAGAAGGGAGATTTACTGTCTGCCACAAATTTTCAATTGTTTCCTTAATATTTTTAATTTTTGAAAAGGTACAATATTGGAGGCTCCACCACTTCCATAGCAATCCTGTGCTCATACTTCTTTGATGAAGGACAGAAAATTCTCTTGGACAAAGTTTATGACAGACCCAGTGATTCAGTAAAGGACATACGGACCCAGCCACAGCTGAAAGGTAAAATGACAATTTCTTTTTAGAGTAGCTTTTCATTTCAGATGTCCCTCCCTGTGTATTTTAAAGTGACCCATTAGACACCGAAAGCACCTTCCACAATTAGCTCAAGCTGTTCAGAGAATGCAAAACCAAAAATATGCGTTTCAGCCATGTCCTTCAATGCCATCTATAAATAAGTTTATTGCTCCTAGAAATGGGATATTTTAGGCACAGATGCTTGTGTACTGGTCCCCAGAGGTTTAGTTGAATACTTTGTACAGCAGCTGTGACTTGTTGCTTTTAAAAGTTGGCAAAATTAAAAACAAATCCTGTGCTGCATAGACCTCTAGGAATATCTCTTCCAATACTCACACATAGTTTTATATGTAGCTACTCACTTCCTACCTGTGTAATCCACTATTTCAGTAGGTGAAAACACTCACAATAGCCCAGTTTGTCCAGAGAATGTAAGAGAGAAAGAAAACCAGTATATTTTGCACATCTGAGTGAGTTTGGAGCATTTGGCAATGTATCACACACACGCCCCTTTCTGCCTTGCTGTCCATGGAAGTAGAAAGGATGCTGCAACATGCAGAAACAGAGCTCTTCAGTGCTCGTGAAGTGCAGTTAGAGTCCTAAGAAGCCTTAAATATTGGTTTTAATTCTTTTTCCCTTTAAAGCGAAGACAGTACCAAAAAAGGTGTCAAAACGGTATCTGCAATTATTGGCTTGGAGCATGCTGAAATGGTTCAACTTTGTCACAGGCTTCAGGGTCCATCTATTTTCCCAGGCAGTCAGAGGTGGGCTGTGCTAAGGGATACGATTACTATGGACACATTTCAGTTTCCATCAAAGAGAACAGGCAGACTCATATTAACTTCAAAGGAGCTGGATCTGGTCCTGTATTATATATATCTACTGTGAAAAGGGTCTTCTAATGGATACTACATCTATAGCAAAATGAGAAGAGCAAAGATGGTGTGAAAATTAATTACCGTGCTATCGGCTCCTCTCTTACAGTTTGGTATGAGAATTATATGTCATACTGTAACTTACTTAAAGAATGACATTTTTAGAGCAGTTAATTTTCAGGTTATCAGGTCACAGTTATGATGCACTGGCCACTTCTTCAAAGGAACTAACCTCTTCAAAAGTATGTAACATGTTCAGATATATTGAAAAAAAAGGTGCAAAAATCCTCCTACTCCTGTCAGCTGGTTTATGTAAGAAAATGAGATAACTTGGCCCAGAACCTAATAATAAAGGAGTATTTGCTGAAGGGTTTGGGACAAAGGCCATGTAACAGCTTCCATTTATAGACTATAAAAAACCTGTGAGTAACCACTATAATTATAATTTCATAAAATGCCACCTGCATAAATTGCAGGCCAAGCTCTATGATAGACATGTTGCTAGAGCAGGGATGAGAGTGAAACTGAAGATGATGCTGGCTGAGCTTTGAGTATTCCTGCGGGAGCAGTGGAAAATGTCACTTTCTTCACCTGCCTATACCACTCCTCTCATGAGATCTAAAGCTCCTGTAAAAGTCAAAGCAACAGAAGAGCCAACAGCAGTAACCATGAGCTGGCCTCCCAGCTGCTGGAGCTCATAACCAGAAACCAATGGCACAAGAGCACCACATAGAGTGACAGTCTTTTTTAGCTGCTGGGCTAGTATAAAAAGTGCTTTAATATCATCATAGGTAAAAAAGTAAATTTTCAAACTTCTTTGGTTGTTAATTGCAGGGAGGAAATGAAGTGTGTTGTATCTTGCTTCGTTATGCAAATAAATCTCTGAAAATGGATGCATTTCTGATGCTTTTTATCCTGTCCGGCAGGGGAGAGGTATGGCTCTCAGAAGGGGCTAATAATCCTCACCAGTGCTATGACAGCTGGGGCTGCTGAAGAGTTCGTATACATAATGAAGAGACTGGGCAGAGCTCTCATCATTGGGGAACAAACAAGTGGTGGCTGCCATTCCCCACAGACGTATCAAGTAGATGATACCAACTTCTACATCATCATCCCCACCTCCAGATCAGTCACCTCTGCAGAGAGCACTTCTTGGGAAGGGAAAGGAGTGCCTCCTCACATAGAAACACCAGCTGAAATAGCACTCATCAAAGCAAATGAGATGCTCAGCGCTCACCTGCACAGCTCTAGATAGCCCAGTTGGGGAATATGCCCCTAGATCTTAGGGAAAGAATTATAGTTCCCCAAATGTAAACCCTAGACAGGAGTGGGAACTTCATTTCAGTCTCTATCTATGATCAGTTATTTGTTCCCTGTACATAGCTCAAAGTGTCTCCCTCTTCAACATACTGACTTTTTTACCCCCATTCTATGGAACCCAGCTCTTTCTGGGCATGTTTGAGATATTTGGATAACAGGGTTTCTGAATTCCTCTCCTGTGGTCAAATGTGAATGTTAGTTTTTGTAGTGTCTCCTTTTTAAGATTTTAGCTCCAAATCACAGATTTCCTCTGGCCACTTAGAAAATCCCAGCTGTCAGTATTGAAGGCATGTGAACCACCTCAAAGAATTTATGCAAAGATAGAAAAAGCACCTCTGTGTCTTTGGAAATTGTGTACATTTCTAGTTATACATCTTAAAGAAGAATTAAAAGTTGTTGAGAGAGTGCTTCCCAAACTACAAGAGCTAAATTAAGTCTTCTCTATTTCATCATTTAGATGTTTCAAAAATAGCCATCTCAGTCTGTCAGGGTTGCCCAGACTCCTGGTATTTCTTAGGTGCCTGCTTCCCTCCCTACTATCTGGCAGAGGAGTGGGGAATGAGCAGGAGAAAGGCAGTACATTGACTCTTTCACCCAGTGCTCAGATCAACAGACCCAGGGAAAAGAATCATATGTTTTTACTGAAGGCTAAAAACAGAATGTTGTGTGTCCTGCCCCAAAGACGAGAAGAAAGCAGAGAAATATCCTTTGCACCCTGCCGACAAGCTATTTATAATATTAAGTAATGGTATATTCGAGGGCAACTAACAGTTATTAACAGGAGCTTAATCAATGCACAACCCTCCTTGTCTTTCATACAGTTCTTTTCTAACCACCTGTCTTTGTAATTATTTAGAAATACATTTAACTCTAATCTAGATCTCAGAATTTCTCATCTCTACAAAATGCCAGCTGTAAGGTAATTAAGTTAGGAAATTTACGCAGTTAGAGTCTGAGGTAGTTACTCATTGCTGTTCACTTGCTCATTTGTAAGTTACTGCCATTTTTTTAATGAATTGTGTTTAAACATCTGACTGCAGACAATCTCTTTCAGTATTTACAGGAAAATAATTTTAACAACCAAATAGACTTTCCATCTTTTTTACTACTTGTTTGTCATACCAACTACACTCAGTACAATTGCTAACCTGGACTCTTTTGAGTCATTTTTGTGTTCTGATTTTTATTCACTAGCTAGTTGTTGAACTTATCAGTGTTGTGGAAGATATTTAAATTAATTAAAACTCATACAGAATTTTGTGTAAAATGATATGTGTATGAAAAATATTAAAGTTTCTTAATATGGAAAACACTGGAGTAGTCAATGAATGAGTAAACAACAATAATGCATTTCTTCTAATGTCTTTTAAGCCTCTTTAATATCTAAATGATCCAGATATACTGCTTTGTTTTCCTAAACACAATCAGTTGTGCTATCATGTACAAACAATAGTAGCTGTTAAACCCAACATTTAGCCATCCATTCAAGGACAAAAAACTATACCATAGGGGCACAAAGAGCAAATAATTTCTTCCTGTAGTAATATGGTAAGTACTTATGAATAATAAATAAGTCTAGAAATTGGAATCCAGTTGGGAAAACAAACAAAGAAGATGCATTTGCTGGTGAGTCCATTTGAAATCAATAGTGCTGTTAGTTCACTGAAGTGATCAATTTCACTGGAAAATTAATGTGAAACTTTGACAAGTTTTATTAGTTAACAAAATATTATTAACTATTTCATAGGTCATCTACTAGCTAATTGTCATTGAAACTATCAGGCTTAACAAAGGCCAATGTGTTAAAAAAATATTTTTTCCTGTCTTCACAAAGTGCTACATCATATTTATACCCATCTCAATGAGCTTAGAACCTGGACATGGTGTAGTGTAAATTGTGTTAGATTGTACTTTTTGCTCAAGGTAGGATCACAGGAAACATCTTGTTTGAAGACACTGAAAAGGCTGTCTTTCTTCTCTCAGAGTAGAGAGGTAACAAGCTGGATAGATGAACTATATCCTATCTCACTTTAATACGGTGAAGTTGAAAGGAGGTAAATTCAGAACTGACAAAAATGAAATACATGTGAAAACAGAGTCTGCAGGACTCACTGAGAAACGTGGCACTGAACCTAGTGAGATTGTACTGTTTAGAGGTACCAAACACTTCTAGAACACCTGGAATTATGATAGGTAACAGAACTTTCCCTGAAACCTAAACTCATACTTTCAGAAATAAAGCAGATCTCTATCATCTATGCAGTCAAGAACTTAATTTTTTTCCCCACAGATGTTTTTGGCATGGGTCTGCCACCTTCTTCTACAGTGTCAAGAAAGACATAGATCCTGAGTTGTATATCCCACTTTGTAGGCATGTCCCCCAGGTTTGGCTCCACCTGCCAGTTTTGATGTTTCTAGTGACCACTAAATCTGTGAGCTCAAACCAAACTATGACCACAGCACAGTGTGCTCAACAGAGCTCACAAAACTACAGACAGTAATTGTATACAAAATGACACAGCATTGAAAGAGTTGAACATCACAAAACTATGAATGAAAATTAGTTATGGAAAACCCATGGCTTGTGATTTAAATGAAAAAGTTAGAAGAAGTTTTCTTAGGGACAAGCAATTTTGGAAGTGCCCTTCCATGGAGCACCAGGGAATACACTGGAACTGCCACCCTTCCCTCTTCTGGTTCCATAGCTGACATGGTCATTGAACAGTTCATAGCACCATTTCCTTACCATCCACCTAGAATAGCTTCCTAAAGTTTAATCCTAATCATGTTCCTTTTAAAGGCAGGAAAAAGGGAGTTGGTGTATCAGACCTCCTAGCAGTATGATCTTTCTTCTTTTAGCATTCATAGAACTCTGACCAAGAAATGGCAGCCAGTGTATTCATTTTTTCCATTAAAATGTGGTCTTGCTCTCTGGAGAGTCTTCCTTGATCATACTACAGAAGCTCCCTTAGTCCAGTGATTTTCACACTGTGCCCTGTAGACCAATGGGAGCCCACAGACTGCTTTGATTAGTGAAAAATTACACCCCTCCCCTCAAAAAGCAAGTAAATATATATTCTTCAAAAGCATATCTGAGTGCCATATTGATGGAGAAACACATCTTCATTGGAAAAAAATCAGGGATCAATGAGGGAACAAATATCCTAATCTGGCATTCCCTACCAGTAAACTCACAACCCCCTGAACAACTCAACGTGACAGCATTGTGTTATGTTCCTTTTCACTGATCCAGAAACAGATGTGAGAAACAGTGGTTTGATCAAAATGACACTGGCAGTTGCTAACAAACAGGAAAAGAACCAGTCAGATGACTTCAAATTGTCTCCTCCTGTTTTAAAAAACAAAATCCTATATTTTTTCTCCCAATTGTTTCTACTTGTAGAAAAGACACAGATCCCTGATGTAAAATCACAGTATTGGACTGGGACAGAATGCAGTCCTTCATGAATTCCTTAAGTCCCTTCATTTCTTCATGAACGCCCTGCTCTAGTGGAATGCTTTTCCTCCAGCAGGATTTCCTTTCATCTGCACTAGTTTAAACGTTCAGACTTCTAGACATAAGGGGAAAAAAGCTACCAGCCTGACTCAATTATAGGAAGTTTGTTTTTCTTTGTCTCGTTAGGCTTCCTTCTGCCTGTGCAATATTTGGTTCACTCAGCTTTAATATGAATATTTTCGTTTCAAGAAATAAAATCTGCAGAAATTTTGGATAAGCCCCCTGGTTTATGTAACCCAGCTTAGATGAGACACTCAGTTAAACTTGAGACACATAAAAGACATTCCCTCTGCCTGCACAAGGGGCTTTACACAAGAGTTCGTTTTACACATAAGGAGTCAAGTTCTGGTTCTGTTGGCATCTATGTTGTTTTGCTCTGATGTCAGCACAGGTGTAGCAGGCAACAAGATGTCATATTGGTTAGTTGTGTGTGTAAACAGGTCTTAGTTCACAAAACACTTCAGTTGAGTATAAGAAGCAATTTGTTCACTCAATTTTTATGCCAGTGGCCACTTATAAAGGAACAAGGGCAGTATTGCACACATTTACCTGCAGTGTGATTTCCATGTTGCAAGAGAAAAATCCCCAGCCTTTACATGCTAGGACCAAACTGCACAGCCCCTGCAGCTGGGGGAGGTGAGGACAGTACCAGAAATAAAGCTGATTAAAACCCTCTGCTCTTCATTTTTACATTTTGAGTCAGCTCTGCCACTTTTCATAACTGGTTCTCTTGCTTTTCTGTGCACAGAAGGCATTTAAACATTGCTTGTCATCACAGTATGTAAGTTGCTGTGACTGAGATATGTCCACAAAGAAACTGGGTAAGAGTTCTTACCTTTAATTCTCCCCCAAAAGAAAACAACTTAATTACATATAGAATGTATACATATATACATTCTCTAGTCTTGCTGCTTGCTTAAGTATCATACCATAAGCAGAGTGAAGAAGCTTAATTATTGGTGAGACCTCTAGGTATGTAGACCTAACACACCATTGGAAGAGGTTTTGAGATTCAGCAGCTGTTTATCAGTGGCTGATTTTCCACACTTTCTCAAGATCACTTAGACCAACACAAAATTAGTGAAACATGTAACCAGTTAGATTTGGTATTGCTTCATTCTGATCTAAATGATATGCCAGGTGTAGGACACTGGAAAAATAGGCCCTTGGAGCAGACTAATGTTGAAGTGCTGCGCCAACGTAATACTAGGGAGCATTACACAGCTGGTCTTGTCTTTTTCCAGAAGAAATCTGAAGCTAGGTCTCTAACCATAAAACTGTTAAGAAAACATGGCATCTCTCAGTAAGTACAGAAGAGAACATTTTGCAGTAATGGTACCAAAAAATCTTTAGTCTTGTTTATACTGGGCCAGGCTGATCTTAAAGTAATTGATGTAAATCAGGAGTAGCAACATGGAATTATTCTGGATTTGCACTGGAATAAATGAGATCACAATCTGGCCTAAACTACTAATGGGAACTATAACCCTAACCACATATGAATGCAGTTACACCTTCATTACACTTTATGGACAGTGACTTCACAGTAAACTGGCTGGCACCCAGATAAAACCAGATGGAGTGAAATTTGGCCCATTAAACTTTGCCATAAATATATTCCTACACAGTAAATGTTATTGGACACAAAATAGAGATGGAAAGATTAGAAGGAAACCACATCATCCCCTACTCAATGCAAGGTTGTTCCCTCTGCTCCATGTTTCAAAGCTTTTGTTCATTTTGGGTTTTAATGACTCCAGTGAAAGCCCTTCCATCACTGACCTTGGAATGCTGTGTTACAATCCAACTAGACCTCCAGTCTCAATTTATGTCTTCTGAACTCAAAGGCATAATGTAAGAGTTTAATCACTTTATGTTGGGAAAATAAAGCTGGGGTGCACAGTCGGTGGTTGGCCTGCAATAAGCCAAATGTTTATGTTAATAGGAAACTGCCATGTATTAACGTTCAACGGCAATATACTGGGAAGAATACAGTCTTCTTATAGAAATCTCCCAAGAGATGACAATGAGTGTCGTAAGTTGATCCCAACTGACAGCCTAAAACTCTCAGTCTGTCTTTTATCACTCAGATGTGTTTACTTGCTAATATTTGCATTATCAGCCTAGGCATCATCATGGGAACTCAAAGAAAAATTCTGTCCAGTGTGCAGTAGACAAACACTGAACTATTTCATCAGTATGGTGGAAAATAATAAGGAGCATACTGCAATGTCATTTACTCTTGTCTGAGAAATGAATGGTTTCTGATCATTCTCTATCTAAAAGAGCAATAGCAGATAAGGCTCAGAGACAGGCCACAAAAACATCAATCTGAAAAAATACTATGTGAGAGAGATAAATGCTTGCTTGAGGAACACGTTGTCATAAATTGTCAAGAGCATTCAATCCCCTAAAAGGATTTAAAAAGTAATGAAAGGCAGATCAGATGAGCTTGCAGTAACAATAGACAGGATTGTTGCTTCCCCCCTATACACTCAGAGCAGTATAAACCCATCTGCTTCTGCAACTAAGCAGAGCTCAAACCAAAGCAGGCAAGAGAAAAATATCTCAGATGGACAAGCTATAGAGATAATTCGGCACTTTCTTTTAAAAAACGCTGGAATTAGCTCATGTAGAAACCAGAGGATAGACAAGCTGGTCTGGTGGAATGCAGTTCACATGTGCCTGTATCATTTTGTGGAGGACATTCCTCTTCTAGTTGTTAGCAGAGCAGAGCCTGTGATCCACAATTAAAGTGTGCAGATTCTATCTATCAGTAGCTAATAGTAACTCAAATACCTTAGTTGCTTCCTTCAGTATATCCAAAACCTAAATACTACAGACAAAATTCTACACCCATCAGATCTGTACAGCTACTACTGTCACACAGATCTTGCAAGCACACATCAGGGCAGAATTTGTGCTCCCTGTCTACACAATAATGATGACAATGGGTCATGTTTTGATACAGATCTAGGTTGATTTGTCTTTGTAAAAGATATTTCAAAAGTGGCAAAAGAACAGAACTTAGGTATACTGATCTACAAGTAACATCCTCTTTGACAGTCTACTGGTCAGTTGACAATCACAAATTTCAGATAGTCTTAACTTCAAGTCCCTTTCAAAGCCAAGGAGACACTGAGATACAAGATTTTTACTCAGACTCGCAAATCTGATAAGAGAGCTGATTCAGCTAACATAAAGAATTGAGTCCACCAAAGCTGCTAGAAACAGTTGCTTCTTTTCTTTTAGCATATAAGCTCTATTTTTTTAGTGCTTAAAGATTCCTCATTCAATTAGGTGTTTGTTGCTTTTGTATTTACATTGTACTGCACAGACACCAGCAAACCAAATACAAGCAAAGAAAACTCCATTTGCAAAACAATAATTTTTGTCCCAACTCTTTGCAAATTAATACTGCATGTGCATTCATTTCACTATTTTATTTCCTCAAAAATAGATTGAAAAGGGCTAGGTTGAGTTTTCAAAACTTAGAACCCACTCAGACTCTTGTAAACATTTTATATTTTTCTGCAAAGCATCTATTATAAATTACTGTAAACAGTGATTTCCTGGTAGAAATTAATGTAAACTAAAAAAAAAAAAAATATATAGATACATGTGAAATATGTTCCCCTTCTTTACCCAACCTGCCCAGTCCCTCAGTGAGATCTGTCTGCACAGCTCTAATTATGAGAAGTCATGTGCCGGGATAAATGATGGCGTTCTCGGAAGTACTCATGACAAATGGGACATGTAAGCTTCTCCTCTCGCCTCCTCTTGCACTGGGATTCAGTTGAGGAGTATTCTTTTTTGTGATGTGACCGCATGTGGAAGACTAAATCAGATGTCATGCGAAAGGACAGGTTGCATTTGGCACACCAGTTCTGGGCAGCCACTCCAAAGGACGTAAAGGTGGGAGGAAGAAGAGTCAAGGAAGAGGAGGAAGAAGTGGTGGTTGTGTTTTGTAACTGTCCTCCTGCTTGTTTGGGCCACGGTTCTGAGGTATATGGGAAAACATTACTCCGAGTAATGCTTGTCTGCAGCATCTGAGCATTACATAGATCACTGACAAAGAACTTAGAATTGAGAAGAGTGCTGCAGCACATGATGTCTGTGGTGGCAATGAAGCTAGACAGCTCCCCCAGGCTCTTTGGTGACTCACTCATGGGTTGGGAAGAATTTATTGCAGCTCTTTCTGTTAGACACTTACTGGGTTTGCTAAAAGCACTCTTCTGTTCTCCTCGGGCTCTCGTGGGCCACACAAAGGAGAATGCACTACCAGAGGAGCTCAGCAGCACTTCCTTTGATATCTGCTCTTTACCAAGTGGAACAGTGGTATCTTCCTGTCCTGGCTCCTTCAGTCTCTCATTTCTCAGCTTCTCCTTCATCCTCCTGACCTCAGTGAAAGCACTTTGCTTCTGCTCTAAAGCATCCTTCCTAGCTGACTGCCTTCCTGAACTAAGCTTCCAGAAAGAACCACCCAATGCATGCTCTCCCCCAACCTCTTCCTTGCCCCCACAGTTATGTTCCTCACTCAGATTATTGGTTTTCTCCAACAACACTGTTTTCCTGCTTCTGTTGTTCTCAGGCTCTTCAGATTTTGTTCTCCTTTCTCCTGTGAGACCATGGGCATTATCTTTACAAGCTGCCATTTTGATCTCTAAATCCCTTGCCAGGCTGTGAAAATTCGTGGTCTGCTCAGCTAAGTTGCTATTTTCAGTCTTAGGTTTCTGGAAGTTTCTCCATAGCAGGGCACTCTTCTCTGGGACACATAGGAAGCGCACATGGGAGAGATAGGAATGCTCACTTTTAAAGACTCGGTCGCATTCTTGGCATCTCAACTCTGCAGAAACAGACAACAGATGGTGAGTTTTGCAAAGGTAGAATCATGGATGCAGATTCTGACCCTGTCATTAACAAAAACAAAAACCCAGAAACATCTCCTGTGTCACACAAAATTACACGTGGTAGAGCTAATGGCAGTGCAGACACATATGGCACATCCTAACCTTTGTAAACAGTATCTGTGCTATGTTATTTCACAACACACAGCAGTTTTTAAAGGCAAATGATGCCAGACAGAACCTGAGGCCTGGGATACGTAGGAAAGTTCATACATTGGTTGGGTAGAACTACTAACCACTATTTTGTAGGCTCAGAACAGCTTAGATCACTTCCCAAAATAACAGAAATGGAACTTTTTATAAGAAAATAAGGCTGCTGATTTGGGTGGAACATTATACCTGCTAGTTTAAAGCTTTCCATCTAGAAGATATAGTGTTTCTGGTGTAGATAATACTTTGCCCTGGTAAATTCGAAGGGCTGACAGTGTGTGTCTACACAGAAGCTATCAGAATACACTGAAATCAGTTAAAATTTTATTTAGTGATTCCTTCTATGAATGTGTCTATTAATTTAATATTAATTTACAGGCAAGTAGATGACCTTATAAATTTACTAACTCATACCTTTACCAACCTACACGTTTACTAACCAACCTATATCAACTGGTTTTAAATCAGCTAAAGGGAATGTAGAAAGGGTTTTATTCCAGTCTAACTAGATCAAAGTTTGGAGCAAATGACAGCTGGAGTCAAACTTGGCATGGACCTGAGAGTGATTTGCTTGGTCTCTCCGTAGTCTAGATTTTTTTTTTTTTTTCAACAATTGCCAAGCCAGTTTCTTTTAGAGCAATAAATTTATAGCAACATCTCAGAATTAAAATTATGCCCTTTTCCTTGTTCCCACTGTGTCCCACACTAAACAGGCAGACTGTGCTGTATGTGGTACTGTTTGCATTGTTATGTATTTTTATAGCCCTGATCATAAGATTAGAGCTGAACGCTCGTCTATACCTGATTCCTCAATGAGCTAAAAATGGCATATTTCCAATTGATATTTTAGGCTTTTAGGATTCCACAGTAGTCAGATGCATAGACTTCCATTACACAGCTAAAAATTTTCAGCATTAATCCCTAGTGCACCATTCTCTGCTGGAAAGTAGCAGTGCAAATGGCATTGAGAACTCTAAATTTGTTCTTGCTTCATGCCTTCAGCTCAATCCGCAGAGTGGAAGGTCTTTTCCCCTCGCTAACTGGCTGAGAATTCAGGCAGGTTATATTTCCTGTATAACAAGATCACCACATACTAAAGTTGCAGATTCACTTCAGTCCTTAGTGACCCCTGCAGTCAGCAGTTTGGTACTTACCATTCTGGGGACTCTGAGCTTTTATCTCATTAAAACCCAAGAGGCTGGAAAGCTCCTCATCATACCAGACAAGCAACTCCTCATTTTTGTTGATTTTCCTGGTAGAGCGATAATATAACTGACTGTTTTCTAAGTAAGCTTCCAAGTTTTGCTCCTTGCTATTGGCAGCTGCTTGTACAAGTCTCATCCAAGGCAGTCCTGTGGGACTGTGCACAGACGTAACGTCTACCTGTGAGACAGGACACAAAAATGAAGTTTCAGGTCTTGGGACCCAAAAGAGATTTCCATCAAATTCAAGAGCAAAGCTTGTTTCCTGCCTCACACAGGGCCAGTATGCCAATGCTGTTAGCCCAATTCATACGCCAGTATCACCAAATCCAAAATCACCATAGGGAGAAGGCTTTCCCAGTGTGAGTGCTGAGAGCTCTGGGAATACAGCTGCAAGGGAAGGAGAAGGAGACACCGATGTTCACAGGTAACTTCTCATGGCAATGGCAGGGCTGGTACGTTGGTCAGTCTCTAGCCCACTCATGGCAAGGATGATGTCCTCTGTCCAGTGCAGGTTGTCCCATGGGACCGTGTCAGGTGTGGATCACAGAGATACAGAAGGTGTGCTCCTTTGTAAGTAGGGGTCTCAATCCCATGGGAAAATGGAATATGCATCAGGAGAGGTGCGAATACTGTGGTCTGAGGGGTGTGAGATGTGCAGACCTCTGGATCAGTGCAGTGTGAGCCCAGAAATGAACACACACTCTGGGCAGCTGCATGTGGAGTTTTTCACTGACATAGGAGGATATGGATTGGGAGGTATAAGAATAATCTTGCTATTTGATTCAGCACCCTAAGGAGACACATCTTCATATATAACTCTTTACATAAAAAATAGATTGTAATAAATACAAATAAGAAGCACTTATCTCTTTCCTTTTTCAAAAATAAAACTATATATTCCTATTTCTGCCTTTGATAAATTGATTATATTAATTTCAAGGTATCTAACCAGAAAAAAACTCATCAGATGAATATTTTTCATTCAATTATTTCTGAGACCTGTGAGGGGTTGATTTACTTTCAGTATGTGTGCATTCAGAAATACCAAACAGATTAAGTTAAAAACTGTTGCTTAGGTTGCAAGGTCAGGCACTCAGAAGTTAAAAAAATAATATTAAATCCAATGCTCAAAATAAATTTCCCTTCTGTGTGTATATTAGAGCATAGTCCTCAGTCACATATACTACTTTCTCTACAGGACTCCTGAATCATGTAGTCACAGGTTGACCATGCTCTGGAAATAGTATAAAACATTCAGCTTTGTCTTTCTGAATCAACAGGTGGCTCCCATCTCAGTTACTTTATTGTATTTGCTCTGAATAGGAGATGATTTATTTCTTTATAGGTTTTTCTTTGGTGTTTGCCACAGATCTATGCCGATCTATGTCCTCTGCAGTATTTGAAAGATGGGGAAGATTTTCAAAGTTTGGAGGCTGAAACACAGGGCAATCAAGGGCAACATTTACATGAATAAAAAGCCTCAACTAATTTTTGAAGCACTAAGTCATTGTTTAGAAAGGAAGAAGTTTGGAAATGAAAAATGTCTAATGACAAGTATGATCTAAATTTCACCCCAAGCAATGTATAGCTCTTTGTTTTCCGCTAATTGTAGGGCCGCCATTCATTGGTGTTTGGTATCAGAAACATTATTTTGGCTATTTCTTTCTCTGTTTTTAACTCTCTCTGACTACTACCTACCATGAAAGGTATGACCGCACTAGTAGCCTGAATACAAGAATGAAACATTAAAGGACCATTAGGATGACTTAGTATAAGGGAGAAAATAAATCAGCATGCACTGTAGCTGGTTCTCTCTAAATGCCATGGTAATTAACAGTGATTGAGAAATACAAAAGTCTGACAGCAACACAAGCACACCCACCCACATGCAGTGGTTGTAACTAATAGCTATGACAAAGGCTGTCATTTATTAGTTTCTGTGTTTCAGAAATACTGAGTATCCACCCGGCGCTCGAAGCAAAGTCAAAGGGAACACAGCTCCTCCAGGAACCAGGGCTCCAGGGACAGAGTTGAGAGCTTAAAGAAGGTGGGGAGAAGGACAGAACATAAGATCTGGGTGCTGTCAACTAGAAGCAGCTTTAGTTTTTCCATGTGTTTGGGGACACTACAAACCCTGCAAGCCCACCCTCTTCTGGAGATAGCAATCCCTGAGATCAATCCTTTGCACTCATCTGTGACGTAAAGGTTTCATAGCCCAACATGCTCAATCACAGCTGGGCTATGGAGGCGATCTGGCTTCCTTGATAGAGGCTGGAAGAGAAGAGAGAGAATAAGACTCTTCCTTGGAACCCACAAGAAGCTCTAAGGGGCAGAGGAACTCAATGGGACAGAAAGCTTTGTCAGGGGACAGTTTGCTTTGCTGGGATGAATGATTTGCTGGAAAGAACCACCTGTGCCAATGGTTGCCAAGGCATTCTCTTTGTCCAAACATACAAATTGGCCCAAGGAGCTCAAATTAGGGTCTCCAAGAGGATGAGAGAAAAAAACTTAAAGCTCCCTTTTCAACTAACCATAAAAGCCCAAGATGAGGAACACTTGTTAGAAATAATATTCCCCAAAGTCTTGCAGGAGTGCTGGTGAACTATGATGAACATGAACCTCAACTGTAAAGAATCCATCTTACTAAATTATTCCTGCATGTATTCTGTTTGTATCATAGCCAACATATCAAAAAAATTTTCTTGTTTTGCACCTCAGTGCCATGATAACAACAGTGTCATGATTGAATTGTTAATTAATTGTCTACTCATACAGTTAGGAACTTAACAATAGTTCTTGGTTTCTAGAAGGTTTACTTTAAATTATGAGTAGCTAACAGAATATGGGACCACCAATTGCATCTGAAACAGCTACTTGCAGAGAATTTGATGTATTTACTGCCAAAAGACAGAGATTTGAGCCAATTCAGGCATCCAATTTCATGGCTGCATAACAATTACTTAGCTCAAATGTAGCAAAACATGAAAGCCATCCCTCTGGAGGGCTCTTCCAATGTAGAAATCCTTTGAGGCTCTTTCTTGAGTCTACAGTAATTCCAAAACTCCCAGGAGAAATACAGAAATATTCCATAAATAAACCCTTGTTTCAGGAAAGATCTTTCTCCAAAGAGCTTGTATTTCTCCTGGACTACTAATAATACTGTCCAAGCAAGCAAACTTGTTCCAAAGACTCAAACAAATAGTCAGAAAAGCCTCTTTTTCTTGATTTGTTTAAAGCAAAAGTGTCAAATGGGTACCTCCCACGAGCTGCATCTTCCATATTATACATACTCCCTTGAATTTCTCTCCACCAGAATACAGAAATCTTGGATCTCTCCCATGTCCATGACATAGCATGTGGGAAATTTGCTTGCCTCACATTAGAAGACGCTACCTCCCTGTAGTCTAGACCAATGATGACTGAAATGCACTCCAAGACACAGAAAGCCAATATAAGGGGTCAGCATGAGAAATATGTATTGCCCAATTAAAACGTTATGATAAACAGTGGCTAGGGAACAAAAAAAATATGAACTAGGGCTAGAGAGTTAATACTCTATCACAGTCCTGGGATTTCTGACCTTCCCTACATGACAGTTCCTTTTGTTTCACAGACATCTCTGTGTCTTGTCTACGGGGATTGAAAAGTGCAGCTGTAACAGAGATGGGCATATCTAAGGTAACTTTAGGAGGCCCATTTACTAACAGCAATGAATTATTTCTGCCTGAAGATTGTGTGGACTAATTGCCTGACTGATATCTTCTACAGTTCATACATCCTGTGATGAGATCACTGCCATTGTGATTTTACTTTTAGGGATAACTGAGCAAATTGGGTTAACATTTTCTCAGATCTGTCAATAAATGCTACGAATGTACCACCTGCATGAATTAGTGCAAGGCCACAGTTCCCCCTCTGCTCTCATAGGTCTGTCACACCTCCTGATAAGATAACTTTGTCCTTTGTAAGGAGGAAACCTGAGCGTGAAGTTTGTAAACTATTTGTCCCTCTTTCCTCCTATTCCCAGTCAGTGCTGAAGGAATTCATCAATCATCAGCATAGAAATGGAACTCTGTATTCTGCCTGCAAAGGAAACAGTTTTCACTGAGGTCCCTCCAGTCTATGGCTCATAAATCAAAAATTCACTGGCTACTTCTCCCCTTTGAAGGAGCTGTTAGTTGTGCTGAACAAAACAAAAATCTACAAAACAAAAATCTTGGCAAAGTTACCTTCTCAGGGATGGTGTAACCCTTTTTAATACAACTAATATTAAATACTACTTTCTCCTACCTTAAATACATAGTGGGTATTCCGTCTATCAGAACACTTGAGAGCAATAAAAGCTACAGTATCCAGCAGGGTGTTCTGGAGCATGCATGGTCCAAAAACAACTTCTTCAGGGATGTCTTGTGTGGTATGAACAGTAGCCAATATGTCCGGAAAATGATGATGCAGAAGTTTGTTGTCATTTGTCCAAAGGAATTTAGGCAAAGATGTAAGTTCCATCATAAACCTGTAAAATAAACAAGAGAACACATTTGGAATAGAGATGAAAATGGAAGGGAATGGCACTATCTACAATATAAAGGCTTCCAGGAGTTGTAGGTGAATTATAAGAGCATGCAAGGACTTCACTGGTTATGGAGTTTAGAGCTTTATTAACATCCAGTTCAGAGAGAGAATAATTACTTTGCACTAAACAAAAATCTTAGGTTTGTAAACAAATGAGTTACTCTTTTCTGGAATAGGCAGACACTCCAGGAGTTCAACTCCTGCTACACTTCTACACTCTAAAGCCAGGAATAAGAAGCTTTTGGAACAGTAAGTAAAATTTTCAGTGAGTGGAGCTCAGCATATTCTCATTCAGCATATACTCAGATATCCTTCTTATTTATTAGTAGTGGTTTGTAGAAGTGTGTAGAAAGGTAGAGAAGGAGAACAACAATAACAACAACAACAAAGCAAACACTCTTTGAAACACATTTTGAAAAAAGCTGTGTTTTTTGATCTGGGAGTACATCAGTCTAGGTTCCGGTTAAGCTGATACAAACCCAGGAAAAACCTGAGTCCTGAGTCTATCAAATCTGAATGCACAAAATCTGTGGAGACTGACAAAAAGATTATTTTCATCCCACCTCAAAATATATATGAGATCTTGCTTATCTGCAGTTTTTGGGAAAATCGAATCCAATTATGACTCTTTGCATGGTGATACTCTTAGTATAATGATAGTAGAGATTTCTATCTTCAGAGGATGAATTTTCCTGTCCTGAACATAGAATTTTTTTAGAGCAGGGCGATTTCTGCAATATGAGCCACAATCTGAGAATTCTGTATGCAGTGAGGAGGCAGGTTTGAATTATCTGTCATTCTAAGCTTCTCTAGGTTTTTAATAAAGATATTACTATCTCCAGCTCCCAGCTGGAGGTCATGGAAAAACCTTCATTTACTCCATCAAGAACTGGATCAGGTCCATTAGGCAGAGAAAATTAAAGAGAACAGCAACAAGCCCTGAAGAGGTCTTAGCCTAATAAATGCTGAGACAGAAGAGATGAAGATCCAGTCTAATCCTTCTTACTCTCTGCCGACAGAATTGATTTGTTACTCATTGACTCATGACTTAAACTGAAGTGATATAAAGTGCTCAGGAGAGTTGCACTGATTGAACTAAATCAATTTCTAAATCAGTATAGTTAATTCAGTATTTCTTCCTGGTAGGCAAGGTCTAAGGCCTTACCCTTAAAATATCAAAATACATGGTTACATATGCAGTAAGTAGTAAACATCTGAGGGGTGAAGACATAAACCAGACAACCAAGGCAAAGAGTGGAATGTGAAAGGTAAAAAAGAAGGTTGTATGGATTGCCAGAGATTAGTCACTAGAAGGATAGACTGGATTTCTGCTTTCTGTTAATGATGAGTTTCATTGCCTGGTTTCCCAATAACCTTCTAAAGTTACTGTTGGTGTGAGGACAGAATGATGGGATCTACGTGTACATTTGTACAATATATAGTATCTACCTAAATAAATACAACATGTGAATATGTATGTGTGTATTTCCATTTAATCTATACCATTTTTTAGAAATTAAAACCATCAAGATATATTTATTTTAAATAATAGTAAAAATAAAAGTTCCAAACCAATCAGAAAATAAATTTGAGATCTAAGATGCTTAAAAGTCTCTCTCAGTGAGAAGTATTTTAGAAATAAATTATAACTTGAGACAGTTCCTTTTCTAAATAATCCACATTCAGGAAATTCATAATCTCTTCTGACATTAATTTACTTATCCATTTATGACCCTAGAAGGCAACCTATCTTACTAAGATTTCCCTTTCTATGAAATTCATCTGAATTTATCCATGTAAACTAAGAGAATGCTGTGCCTTGGCACACTGCTGTCACTCCAGAGGAAACAGAAATCCAGGGCCCTCAAAACTGAGTTTTCAGTGGGGAAGGATGTTGGATTTGAGCACACAGACTTCTCCCTGGAAGAGGGTGGGTGTTACCTGTGTGCAGTCAGTCTCTTCCTCCAGAAATCTTAGCCCAAGAATAGAAACAAGGGTCTGAAGAAGGTACACTCCCTTGCAGCTAGCTATTGCTGACTGCTACTTTTCCCTATTTCAGCAGCTTTTCAAAGAGGTATGGTAAACCCAATCCTAACAAGAACCATTTCTCCAAAGACTGAAAATGTGTGGGTATCAAGAAAAACTGTCAGATTTATGTGTAACAGCGCCACCTAGTGATTTCTGCCATAACATATGTCCCAAAGAAAGAGTCACAAAGGGGCAGGACACACTCTAGGACTGTTACCTTAAGATTGGTCTGTAACCATCAGAGCACACCCACAGCCCACACTTCCAACCCGGAGGGGTCTTCTGAGCAATCTGGTGAAGCAGTCAACAGCTCCCAGCAATGTGTGTGCTGCTTGCTCTGCTGCCTACTCCCCTGCCCCAAATCCTGAATACAGAAGGGTTTCCCCTCCACCCAACGGGAAGGGCAGAAACTAATGCCCTGGACATAGGAGGGCCTGCAGGTTAATCCTCCCTTCTGGGGAGAAGAAGGGAAGCCATCACTCTTCATTAGAAGCATTGCCCTACGGCAAAGGTATCTGGCCATGGGGCAAATAAAACAATATTTATTCTCCAGCAAATAAATCAATATGTGCTTATCTTCAGTTCCATTTAATTCACCTAGATTGATGGGATAGGAGAAATGCAGGTTAATAAGGAATATTTTCTCACAGACCTTTCGTCTATCCAAACTCAAGCATTCTTCAATATGACACTACAGTTTAGTTGTTTCTAAGTGACTTGTGAATTAGACAAAAATCTGTGATGGACAAAAACATCCCCCAAACCTACAGACATTAATGCCAAAGTCTCGAAGTGCTGCCTTGGCAGCTGTGGTTGCATTCAACTCTTGTACAGAAGCATCAATTTTGTGAAAAGTTATGAAAATTATTTACCATGTGTAATACAGAAAACGGGCTTGTTATGGTCAGCCTTGCTCCAAGAGCTTTCAGCACAGGAAGATCAGTCTCTTCAAATAATTTGTCGAATGCACCATCTAGTGTAACATCTCAGTATAACACAGTGTCCCAAGACAAAAGCAACAGCAGGACATCCCCAGACTCCCGGTGTTGTTAGCGTGTTGCATCACCGCAGCTTCTGAGCACCCTGTCAGGCATGAATCGCTCCTCTCATGAGTGGGTCACTCGCTCTGCCACCCTCTGCTCAAACAGGAGGTTATGTGCCTCCACAGGTATTGGGTTTTATAGGGTCTGGTCACCGTTATGTCAGGTAGGGAGCGTAAGTTAAATTTATAGCATTCTCTTTAGTAGGCTGCTGGTACTTAGAGTGGAGAGTGGTGATACTCTACAACATCTTTAGAAGAGAAGGGGTGAATCTTTTTTCTACAGTCACCAAATAGCATGAGAAAGCTCTTCCCTCCACATGGACAAGCTTTCAGCTTGTGTTACAGAGGCAAGTTCATCAGCTGAGGGGTAACAGTGAGCAAGCGTGACTACTGCTTTCAAAAATAAGCTGCTGCCTCTGCAAAGGGGTGTGCTGCATACTGTGGGCTTTCCAACCCAGACCAGCACTTGCTCAGAGGTCTGCATTGCAAAGTGCAGATTCATCTACAGGACAATATGGGAACAAGTCCTCTGGTAGCCACAGCGCTTATCTCGGAGAACTGAAATACTAATCTCCTCAAAAATAAAGACTGAGTCTTGAAACATGACTTGAAAAGAGAGAGAGAAAGTGAATTTATTTACTTTCTGGACACTGTTGGAGAAAGGAAACACAACAGATGAGATGAAGAGAGATAAAAGGGCCACGGACAACAGGAGTGAGAGGTGAAGGGGAGCTAAGTATCTATAAAATCGCTACAGGCATCACTGCAATATTATGGCTGTATTGTGCAGTTCAGCAGCTGCAGCGTGAAAGAGGGTACCCATGGACACACGCAGACAGTGGAGGCAATGTATTTCTACATTACAGACTTTTTTTAAATCACTTTTAAATGGTTGTTGCTGTTAAAGAAACTTATCAGGCTGCATGGCAGTTTTTAAGAAAGTTTACTAACATAGATTTTACCTTTGTCCCATGAGTTTGAGGATGGTAGAGTCTGGAAAATGCACACGGAGGTGCCTTTTCAAAAGCTCAGGCAAGTTTAGTAGTATGCCAAGGCTGAATCCGCACAGTACTCTTCCTGTAGTAAGTCCAGTAAAATACTCATTGATGCTTCTCAGGAGTAAATAATCTCAACTGAATATGGGCATGAGATTGCCCAAGGCCTTAATCAGCTCTGCTCTTTTCAGTCCTCCCACCACTCACTGCAAATCCAGAGAGAGCTGAGGAATGACTGTGTGCAAGGTCAGGTCTGACTGCTGCCAGAAGAGCATCTGCTGGATTGTCCGAGGGTATCAGCAGGTGTGTGGCTCCACTCTGGCAGCATACAGCACAGAAGCTTTGCTGCATAACAGTCAATGCAACCTCCTATCTTGAGAGCACCAGCAGGTAGATTAGCATTGCTGAAATATAGCAGCATGCTGCAATGCTTAAAACAGGTGACAGAAATGAGCTAGAATAAAGATCACATGTAAGGAGACCAGAATATAAATCTGAAATATGTCTCGGTTTGGACAGAGGTTTGATTTGGATCTAGACTAACCTCTACATGTTTTTCATCTGGTTATAATCTAAAGCAAAAACTTTAGCCACAACCAAGAATGCTTGTTTTTTGCAAAACTTTCCTTAGTTCTCAGGAACTTCAGACTTGAACCTGAATGAGAATTCTACACCAACCCATGAACCCAGTACTTGAGTTCTTGTTTAATTCTAAATCTAGTCTCAATGCAAATATCACATCTTTGCCAACAGTATTCATAGTCCAAGGAAAGTCATACTTATTAAGAATCTGCAAATGGAGTCATAATAAGAAATGGAGAAGGTATTTTAAAATGCCTGGCATTTTTCTTCTATGGGCTGAAGTAGGCAAATTAC